CTTTTTGTGCAAACGGGATTAATCGGTACAAAAGGAAAACAAAGGAAGTAAACAAAACGTTATTTACTGTTTGTTTTGACTACGTTAGCTCCCAATTACCTGTAACTAATGTAGAAAGATAATGGATTTAATTTTAAAATAAATAAATTGAGTGGTGCGACAAATTTGTCCATCAGTGCATAAAAATACAGATTACCCGATGCATTTTAATAAAAAATAAGCTTATTTTTATACTATAAATGTACGCCGACGAATGCTTTGGACGTTAAAATCTTTGATCCGCATGTTCTCGCTCCATTTAAGTGTTTAAAAACCAATGTTGAATACTCAATGATTTTTTTAAATTTCTTGTTTAGGTCTGCAAGGTGATCAATCTATAGTCTGCTCTTCGAGAAATTATTTTCTTCTTTTCTGTGCACTTATATGGATTGAAATAACGATGAGCCTACGGATTGGTGTCGTGCCTCACCCTTAATAATAACTTAAAGCTTAATCCCTGACCAACCACTAAATATGGCCAACCGTGAACTACTGAAGATGTCACGAAATGTTCCTTCAAGAATACTTTACTCGATGTACAAAAATCATCAGTAGTCCAAAATTTCATTCTTATCGTTTGAAAGATTTTTTTTAACCTTAAGATTGCGGTTGCTGTTGGATACTTTTATCGTTCGTCAGGGTATAAGCGGGTTGAGGCAAGACTTCCATTAATGTTCTAACTGTTAATATTAAATCCATTATTCCATTTAAACTAAAAACTTCCTGCTGAATCAGTGTTTCCACTTCATACGTACATTCTCGTTTTCCTTCACTCCTGTAAATTAAATCTTGAAAGTCACCGCTGTAACATTTTGTTTAAATACCTTTTTTCAAATAGGTTCAATTTTTCATCGCGTTTTTTGTCAGTTTTCTCTTACACTTGCCAAGTCACACTATAAACAACCAACAACAATCATAATAGAAAATACATGCAATTTTTAAGCCAAAAGCCAGAAGACAAACGATAGAAATTTTACAAAGACCTCATTTCGGTTTGTGCTTCGCTTTCCAGACGCGGAGATAACGATCCATTTCTTACAAGTTTAGTGTCTGGAGATGAAAAATGGATTCTGTAGAGCAAGTTCGCCCTGGGGGTGGGGAAAGCCAAATGAACCTCCTTTACTCATTTCTAAGGGGCGGACTTAACTCAAAGATCGCCATTAAATTATGTCAAAATTCTCACTTTAAGTTGTTTACTTGAAAATTTTTAATTTATGGTTTAAAATAATGAAAATAACTTTTATTAAACTATCCAAAACTTACTAATTCAATTCACCTTGTGAAATAACAGTCAAAGTTTAAATACATTAAAAGCCAGGGGTAAGGACTATTTGAAAGAAAATACTTTGGCGAGCCTTCAACAGGACTTTAAACAATTATTAATAATTTAAAAGGTTCGCAAATATAAATATACACTCAAAGACAAAAAACAAGACACGTGTGTTGATTGTGTATTTTCCATAATAACTAGGTATAAAGTACACATACATATTGCATACATAAGGTTGTAATTGTAAATAAACCAAATAAGCCAAAATTTGTACTGTAAAGTTGTCCATTCAGTTTTCTCAAAATCTCGAGCTATTTTTTTTTTAAATAATTTCAAGTATATTACAATTACCTTCAAGTAGGTAACAAGTAACAATGAGCAAGGTAATATGTACAAAATTAAAACCAAGAGTGGAGAAAACTCCCAATGATATTATTCTGTATTACTTGGTACCCATTAGTATTAATTGGCCTTCTTAGGCAACAAAATGACCTTTACCACAGTTTTCTCAATTCTAGATGAGTTCGAAATTTGGTCGAAAAGGACTAACAAGACGAGCTCTTCCTGATAGATCCAAAAACAATTCAGCTGTTGTACTGCCCTGATTAGAGAAATCTAATTCACTTAATTTTTTTATTGTAATCTTTCAAAAATCCATCACTAGGTGGATTTAAATTAAACCTAAAAAAAATCACGTACAGTTTCTGTTTTTTGACCACGTAAACAGCAAACGTTTCATTTCTTCCAAATACGTAGCTGGTTTGGGCGGACAGCGAATGAAACTAGCATGTCCACTTAATCTCGTAGTTTTTCTTTTTAGATGATTTTTGGAAATTCGCAATTAGAAGAGGATTTGTATAAAACATGAATTTACACAGGGATTATATGTGATATTCTGTTATGCTTTCAAATTTATTATATGTAACATGATTTTTGTTTATCTTCCGAAGATAAATGAAAATCAGCAGGTATTTTCTTCGCAGTTCGAATACTTTCGGCGTTTTGCACTGGCCCCATCCCAAAGAACCAGTTTGTGGACTAAGTTTTCAGGGCACGAGTTTCTTCAGAAACAAAAACTCTTATCCCGTTAACTCCTACTTCGTTACAGTCTCGCAAAACAATGGACTTATGTTTCAAAACATGTGCAGCTTTCCTAATGGCTCACTCTAATAAGACACGTCATTTATTTATCGTGAAAATAATACAAGGCAATTGTTGTGTTCTTTCCTATTCGATCCTTATCGAAAGCTCGTCAGTGGTTAAATTATTCATGTGTTTATCTGTTCCTTCTCGTTAACCAACTTTTGGATATGTGTTAAATTGTCGTACGTTAAAGATACATTATTCAGACTGTCTCCTTCCAAACTGAAAGCTGTTAGTCTGTTACTGTCAAAAATATTTGTTATACCTAACGTTGGTACATTTTTTATCCGCCGATTTCAGGTTCCCCAGGTCAAAAGGTTCTGTCAAAAGAAGAGAGAAAATCTTAGACATTTATAGTTTACAAATACTTATAAAACCTAATAAGTTATTTGTAATGTAATAACAAATGTAACGTAAGACACAATTTATTGGCTACTCACATTTTTACAAAAAATATGTGGTGATTAGTGACCGTTAGTCCATGATTATTGTGCCAACGTTTCGATCTTTATTGAGATCAACTTCAGGGCCTGGGATTTACAAACATTATTTAAATTTAACAAGTACATGTAGGATGTGGAAAAAAAGTGAATTTATGCAATGCAAAAAATATTTTTTATGTTCAATCAAAGTATTTCTACTCACTCAAAGTGTTTGTTTTCTGCGTACGTGTGAGTAGAAATATTTTTATTGAATATAAAAAATATTTTTTGCATTGTATAAACTCACTTTTTTCCACATCCTACATGTACTTCTTAAATTTAAATAATGTTTGTAAATCCCAGGCCCTGAAGATGATCTCAATAAAGATCGAAACATTGGCACGAGAAAGAAAATGTTTTTCTGAAACTACGTCATACCAGACTGCATCTCACGATTTCCGTTCTATAGAATTTTTTCATTAAATATGGCACTTAGGTTTTTTTTGTAGTGGTAGTAGTAGTATAAAGTATACATAATAATAATATAAAGTATATAAAATATTTTTTATTATTATTCAAAATTTCAAAAACTACAAAGGCAAAAAATTTATAATTAAAAAAAAATTTAATTGTAGTTAATACAACTTAAAACTTTAATTGGGTTGATTTTTTTAATACCTCAGTTTATTCTGTATTATGTTTGTTTATTTGTCTGTTTTTCATTATGCATTTGTAAAGATATATTTTGTTTATTTTTTAGAGAATCTCCAAAAACTTGTTAGCGTGAGCTTTGCTTTTTGACAACACGCAGGGATGTACCAAAAAAACTTTTTTTTTGTAAATTTATATGTAATGTGTAACATTCTTGCAAATAAATTATTATTCATTTTTAAGGGCGTTTTAACAGCTAACATTTAAACCATCTATTTTTAGGTTAGCTATATCCCTTCTGAGTTCCTCGTTAGGAGTTCCAGTTTTAATTTATCCTTTTAAAAGTCTTAATTTGGAAGGCCAAATGTTGCAGCAAAAAACCAATTTTAAATTTTTTTCTGTTTTTTAATTAAAATTTCGAATTTTTGTTCCATAATTTAAACATATGTAACATATATGACTTGTATGGCCAATAATAATAATAATAATAATAATAATAATAATAATGGAGTCCAGGCTAGCAACAGTCTCGGCAAGTATAGGCTCGTCAAAAATTTCATTAATTTCGACTACTTTACTCTGCTAAAAGTTTATTACTTGTTTGCATGTGGCTGAAATCCACTTAGAGAAGTTTTTCACAGCTTAATTGCCTTTGATCATCTATTCACAGTGATTTATCCAACAAGAATGAGAAAATACACAGACAAACCAATGAAGATGACGAGAAGCCGAAACGCCCTTCAAAGACAAGGACAGTGAGATTAGGCAGGCTAGGATGTAACGACCAAACTATAAACTAGGAGGCTTTTGATGGTTAATTATTCCACCAACAGATCTCGCCCATTATTAACAATTAATTATTATTAATGAAATCAATATTATTACATTAACTTTTAACATGCTAAAAAATATGTACTGTAAAAAAACAATATTTCTGACCATCCCACTAAAAATCAGAACAGTTCTCATACGGTTTTTAATTTTTTTTTTTTTTAGCAAGCAGAGATCATATCGACCCTGAGGGTGTAGGTATTTTTGAAAAAGAACCATTTGTAAGTAACGCAGGACTGCTGGATTTACTATATGGTGATGAGCTGTGTCAACAGACTAAACTGTTGCAGCCACCCACACCCCCCCTTCCTTTTGTTAATAAGGTTATTCAGATATCGTGAGATGTGGTCGGAAATAACCGCGAGTTTTCTTTGAATTTAGATGTTGTATGGCAGAATGACCGTGTAGGTGAAAAAGCTATAGGAAGTTGGGACAATGGAATCAAGGAGTGTAAATAGTACTTGGTAAGTTGAGAATAAGTATGATCCTATAATGTTGGCTGTGGGGTGAACTCTGTGGTCTGGTAAGAGGAAAACGCACTCAACATAATTAATTAAAAACAATGACTTTCAAAACACTAATTTATTATTGATTAGTAAAAATAAAACGATTATAGAAAGTTAAAAAAAAAGGCTAGTAGAAAATATTCAATGAATAATAGAAATTTATTGTTGTTATCAAAATATAGCTTTAATATGTATTCCTATAGTACAAAAAATTCACAGCATATGCACAATAAACAATTCAACTTAAAAAATACATTTACATAAAGAGAAACGGCCTATTTCAAATTAAGACTATCAACATGGTTTTTGCACGGATAGTGTTAGTAATAGTGTCGGTGTTCAGATCAGTACCAGTGAATTTAAGTCAATAATAAGGTTTGTTGTTTATCTTGTCACTTTGAATGTTTTCTTACTATGCCTTTTTACTTTCCGAACTGATTTTAATTTTAATAAATAAATTAGTAATTCATGTAAATCTTTGTTTTTAATTAATTTTAAAGCTTTTATAGTAATAATAATCAGGTTTGAAGTGCATATCTTTACGCTATGCTTCGTTCATCTTAGCTTGGTACAGGAAAAGAAAGCATATTTCTTAAAAAGCTCAATTTAATAACATTATTTTGTACAAAAAATTGTCAGCACATGTGCAATAGACAGTTCAACTTAAAAAAAAAATTACATTTACACCAAGAAAAACGTAAAATAAAACAAGATAAACAACAATAAACATATCTTTTGCTTAAATTCCATGATACTGGCCTCAACACAGACACTACGACTAACAACATCCATTCAAAAACAATCATGGGTATAATTTGAAATTGGCCCCTTAAAACGTTTCTGTTTCAACCAGCAGAGGGAATTTTTTTAGACGTCTAAAATCTAACAAACAATCGCTAAAACGTTTTATTGTACAGTGGAATTTTCTTTGGAAGTACTAGGTAAAGTGTGCGCTCTTTTCGCCTTAAGGAGTTCATAAGACTTTTCATCACCAGGTACTATTTTTATCGGATTGCCATTGACTCTAATCCTATCGGCTTTCCTCAAAGTTTTCTAAGAACAAAAAGACAGTTGAAGTTATTGATGAAAAAATAAATAAATAAATGATTACCAGTAAAGATTTTTTTTTAGAAAATTTGACAAATCCTTTCAAGTAATGCTGAGATGGAGAAGTGGGTTTGTGCAGTGTGATCCTGGACACTGAGGAAATACCCCTTTCTGCAAGTGCATTCAAAATGTCATTGGCATTTGCCCTGAAAAAAGAAAAAAAAAGGTTGTAAGTAAATTTTTGTTTCTGTGTAAACACATGTAATTATCAACATTGCCATATTTTAACATGGTTGGCTTGGCATTCGCCAAGTGGTAAAGTTCAATAGAGGTAGCTGGAATATCATCACCGGAGGTGAGTGTTTTTAATTTTTATAATTTCTTTTTTTGTTTAATTTCTATTTTATTTCAATTTTAATATCCATACAGTCCATCCATTCAAATCTGACATCATGTATTAAATTTTGGTTAAATTTTATGAGTAAAACAATGAAATAAATTGTTCATTAAATTTTGTGAGCAAAACCATGAAATAAAATGTTAATTTTATGAACAAAACTGGGTAATAAATTTTGGTTAAATTTTATGAGCAAAACCACGAAAATAAATTGTTCGTTAAATTTTATGAGCAAAACTATTAAATAAAATGTTAGTTAAATTGTATGAACAAAACTGTGCAACAAATTTTGGTTACATTCTATGAACAAAATTGGGTAATAAATTTTGGTTAAATTTTATGAGCAAAACCAGAAAATAAATTGTTAGTTAAATTTTATGAGAAAAACCATGAAATAAAATGTTAGTTAAATTTTATGAGCAAAACCATGAAATAAAATGTTAGTTAAATTTTATGAACAAAACCGTGTAACAAATTTTGATTAAATTTTATGAACAAAACTGGGTAATAAATTTTGGTTAAATTTTATGAGCAAAACCACGAAACAAATTGTTAGTTAAATTTTATGACCAAAACCATGAAATAAAATGTTAGTTAAATTTTATGAACAAAACTGTGTAACAAATTTTGTGAACAAAACTGGGTAATAAATTTTGTGAGCAAAACTGGGTAATAAATTTTCGTTAAATTTAGTTGAAGACAAAAGAAATGGACAGTGGGGATCTTGGATGCATCGCATCGCGTCATGTAGTGTAGGGTAGCATTGTATGGCATTTGGCAGATGTTCAGAGGGTTAATACAATCTTATGTAAAATTGGACATTCGATTTGTCGGGTGGCTTTGGGTCACGTCAGGTAGTGTGTGTTCCCACTTTATACCGATATCTATGCACTCACTCCCTTACTTTTCTCTGGACTGCCAGTTTTTCAACCCTAAGTTCGCTTCTATATATTGTATTTCATTAGATTATAATAGTTACCCATCATTTGCTTCTTATCCGTGTCATCTGCTCTTCCAAATAAAACAATCGACCTTTTCAAATTTCTATTTTTATTATCGCGACACTCCATGTTCAACAATGCATGTCTTTTTTTCAATTTCGTATATTAGGAGGTCGGTGACAAGGTCCGTTTAATGATGAATGAGAAAAAAATGAATATTCTTTGATAAAACACGCTTTGATCTGAACAGACTGATTAGTTACTTTGTATCTAGACTTGGGCAGTGAAACGCACATGGTGGGAGGGGGTCTCAAATCGCACGCTACTTCTAACTTCAGTATTTCACTAACGTGCGTTTGTAAATTCACATTAGAAAACGCATTGTTTGTATTAGGCCCTTATTCTTGTAGTGTCATGTTTGTTAAGCGTATAAGTGGTGAAATTGTTGTTAACCAATATATTTGTTTTCACTTCATTAATCAATATATGTACAATTTGATACTCCCTAATAAAACAAGACAGATATAAAACTTATGACTTACACTATTGGGATCTTGGATATGTGAGCTATGTATCTCTTTTTGGGGTTTTTGTTTGCCGTCTCTTTATTGCTGGTATTTTCATTGGTGTCTGGTTTTTTATTCCAGTTGAAGGGCAACGCATTGTCGAACAGCATGTAGATCGGCGTTCCGTTGATCTCGATTTTACCGTAGCTTGATATGGCTTTCTGAAATATTTTAACGTTATAATAATTACATATACTTTTTCAAATTTATTTTGAGCTCACGAGCTTACATGAAGAGATTTTTCCGTGCGAAATGAGACAATAGCTCTTGCAGACTTATTTTTCTTGGCGTTAGGAACAAATATGTACGTGTCGATGATATCGTGAACTGCGACTGTAGTAAACGCAGTTCGGATTTGATTCTCGGTTGCACTAGTATAAAACCAAAATTAAAAAAAAAAATTTAAAAAAATGGTGTACTGGCTTGACTTTTATAAAAACAAGTGACTAAAACTGAAACTTTTAAACTGAAATATCAAATTAAAGGCTTTGCAAATGATTTAAAAAAAAAAAAAAGTTCTAAAGGTGTAAAACTTAAAACAACATTAAGAGTTAATTATGCATGTCATGGAAATAAATGATGAAGTATTGTCGAAGCCATTTTGTACAAATAAAAAGTAAATAAAAAAAAATTAAATTACTCTTTTGGTAAGTTGCACAATGATATCCTGTACTTAAGCCTGTCAAGTGTATCTTCATTGTCAAAGGCTTTAATTTCTTGCTCAATTTTAGGTTTTTTCACTGAAGTTACTTCACTTTCTTCTTCTTCTTCTGACAACTTGGTCTTTTTAGAGCAGGAATTATCCATTACTTCCTGCTTTTCCATCTTCATAGTTTTAATAACCTTGTCTTCATTAACTTCTTCACTTTTAATGACTCCTACTTCCAGGTTTTCCATCTCCATTTTTTTACAATCTTCTTTACCATTATCAAGAACTTCCTTTTCTATCCTATCCACTATGTCTGTGAATTTGTTCTTGACCAATTTTCTCTCGTTGTCGCTCTCAGCTGCTGACTCTTCATCGCCAGATTCACTTTCGTCGCATGTGCTAAGTAAAATTGTATCGTCCCCTTCTTTTTCCTCAGTTTCTATTTCCTCTAACTCCATTTGAGGGATGTCTTTGCCCTGAGCGGGCGTTACGTGGTTCTGCTCGGATTCGGTATCAACTTCTTGAGCTTGGCTTGCAACGTTAATTTTCTTCATGGGGAAATTCTCGAACTGATCTTCCCTGTCGATGGGCGATTTATGAACTTCCACACCGCTATCACAGCTGTTGTCACTGTCGTTGCAATTCTCGTTGGTTAGAATCATCGGAGGCGTGTGGTTGTTTGCATTTTTCAAAGGCGATTCAGGTTCAGATACACAATTTTCTTTTTTCACTTTGTCTTGCTCAAGCGATTCAGAGACGTTTTGTTCAGTTTTGCTACAAAACGAAACAGTGGTGTTTGATAGTTCGTCGCTCAATGTAGTTTTTTCAGTTTTGGCATTTTCTACATCCAGACTATTTTTCTCATTCACCTTTAAACCATCTTTATCATGTTTAATCTGTTGAACTTCATCTTCCAATTTTTCATTCTCATCATACAATTCAACTTTACTGACTTCCAATTCTGTGCGGTCATCAGTTAAATTGTTTTCTTTTATATCTAGGGGAGTTTTTTCTGTATGTAGAGGGTTGACTGGTTTTTCTTCATTGCCTTCTTCCTCGAAACACAAGACGTTTTCTGGCTTCGCTGCATCTTTTGATTTCTCTTCCTTATCTGTGTCAGAATCCACCATGAAATCTTCCACAGAAATTATGGATTCTTCAGATGCAGGAATGTCGTCGATTTTATCACATTCATCACCTTTGGATTTTGTACAAGTTTCGATATCTTTCTCAGAAGATTCGTCTGTCTGAGCCTCTTGTTTAACTTCAAATTCGGTATTTTCATTTCTAGCCTCCTCGCTTTCATCAGTCTTACTGGTTTCTTCTGATTCAGGAATGTTTTGATGAAGTTTTTCAACAGGTTCTGCAAGCAATTTATTACTTGCTTGTTCATTTTCAACTACAGATGCACAAGTTTCTTCTGTTTGAGGAGATCCACCTACCGGAGCATCTTGTTTTTCTTCTTTAAACTCTTCACTCTCAGTCTTACTAGTTGCTTTAGATTCAGGAATGTCTTGAGAAAGTGTTCCAAAAGGCTTTTCTTTGTCCTCTTTTGGACTGTCTAAACTTTTCACTTCTGTTTTATCGCTATCTAAAGTTTTATCTTCTTCCGTTTTATAACTGGTTTCTAGTGGATCATTAGACATGACCATTTCTTTATGGTTTACATCATGCGAGGTTGAATCGACTGTTTTGTTTGTATCTGCATTACTGTCAAGTTCTAGATCTGTCTTAATTTTCTCCACTTGTCTTTCCTGTATCTCGGCATTACTCTTGTTTTCAGCTGTGCATGTTTCGAGAGCACTGTTTTGAGCATTTTCTATTATTTGTTCAGCATAATTCTGTTTGGAAGGAGACTCAACTTCTTCCACAGAATTAGAGGTCTTAATGTCATCATTGTTTACTTTTTCTACAACTTCTTCACTCACAATCTGTTCACCAGCACTGACTTCTGTTTTGCTTTCTTGATTAACATCTGTTTTATTTCCTAGGCTCGATGGTTCTTCATTATTTTCAGGTATTTCTTGATTTGTATCTAGTTGACATTCTTCCATTTTACCTTGAGTGTTCTCAGATTCAACATCTTTTAATTCCTGACTGTTTTCAACATCATTTGAGGATTCATTTAATGAGTCGGGTTCATTTAAATTATCATCTTTATGCTCTGTCTCCAGTGGAAGTGATTTTTTTTCTTTTTCCTCACTTGTGTCTTGCTTTGGCTCGGCCTCCTCAGGACTTACCTGTTCTTGTACGTCTGGCTCGGTGACACCAGGCTGTTTGGATTCATCTTCCAACTTTGTCTTTTTCGGACTGCATTCAACCTGTTTTTCTTCCTGTGAATCACTGCTTGTCAAACTCTTTTGAGTTTTGGTGGGCGATGCCATTAAATCATTTTTGCTTTTAGTTTCAACACTCGATTTTTTCACACTCTTAGGAGAATCCTGCTGTTTCGGACTTCTAGTTTTCTTTTCTGGGCTAGACTCCAATAGCACTTCACTTTTTTCATCTTCTGTATTATTTTTGTTTTTAGAATTGGAATTGCTCCTTGGGCTTTTTCTGGCACTCTTTTCTGGTGAGATTGAGGGTTTTTTCTTTTTGGGGCTGCCCATGTTTTCAAGTTTTTCTTCTTTCCATTTAGCAGCTCTCTTGGAAGGGCTAGGGTCGCCTTCCTGAGTGTTACTCCTTGGACTTTTTCTTTTTGCAAGATTTTGCTCTACTGTGTTAGTTCCTGCCTTGTTTGGACTTGCAACATCATGAGGTTTTTTATCATCATTGGAATCCTTTTCTTTATTTTTGACTGTTCTTTTGGCTTTTGTCGGGCTCAGTTCTGGCTCTTCAGTACATGCCTCTGCCTGTCTACGGCTTTTCCTGGTGTCCTTCTCAGGCGAGGAGCCTTGAGATTTTTTTTGATCAGGTGAAGCCTCTAATTTTTTCTTCTTTGGACTTATCATACTTTCAAATTTCTCTTCTTTTAATTTAGCCGCCTTTTTTGAAGGACTGGGCTCGTCATCCTGGGCCTCTTTGCTCCTGGGACTTTTCCGCTTTCCAAGTTTTTGCTCAGGGGATGAATTTTTAACCGTCTTGTTTGGACTTGAAACTTCTTGACTTTTACCACTGTCAGAATCCTTTTCTTTATTTTTAGCAGTTCTTTTTGCTTTCGGTGGACTAGACTCTGGCTCTTCGGTGGCTGACTCTGCCCCTCTAGGGCTTTTCCTTTTTCCTAATTTGTTTACATGAGATGTTTTACTTTTTTCTGGACTACCTGCTTCTTGCATTTTCTTCCCTTTGGTCGGTGAGACTACTTCAAATTCATTAAGCAAAGACCTTCTCTTTGAGACAGTAGCAGGTACTTCTGCAATAGTATCTAACGTTGTCTTTTTGACCACTTCACTTTCCTCATCTGGTAATTTGTCGCTCAACCTTGTCGAGCGTCTAGATGGTGTAACCCCTCCAGTCTTTTGGGAAGGTTTGACCTTTTCATCTTTATCGTCTGTCTTGCTCTTGGTGGGTGTTGCACGTGATTTAGTAGTTTTTTCAACTGTCTCGGTTGCCTTTACTGCTGAAGCTCGCCTCGTTTTATTTGCTACTACTGTTGGAGGACTCTTCTGAGCTGTACTCTTCTTAGGAGTGGCCACCTAAAAAAATACAAATTATAATTACAAATGTAAAATCTATGCAGCTATCTAAACGTACATCTGATTTTTTGGATGCGGCAACTGCAGACTTTCTAGGTGTCCTGGTCGTCGTTTGGACTTTTGCTGCATCAGTATTTCTTGTCGACCTGCTCGGCTTGGCTACTTCGGGAGGAATCGACTCCTAAATAGATACAGCAAATATTTAATACACTCGTTAGTTTTAAATTTGATTATTAAGCTATTTACAGTTTTTTTCTGAGTTGCAGTGCTTTTCCTTGTTTTTGTCGGTGTTGACACATTTTCGGAAGTGGTCAACCTTCGTGAAGACCGCGTGGTTGTTCTGGGCTCAGGTTCTTCTTTTTTCATTTCTGCAGCACTCCCCTTAAAATGACAATGAGATTTGATCTTGATGTTTTATATTGTACTGCATGTATCCTGATTATTGTGCAATTTTTTTTTTTTTTTAATTGATTTAAAACACTTTTTCCCTGTTCCTAAGATCCCAATCCTAATCCATAAGATTCTAAATAGGAAGCAATTATTTTGTCTAGGGGGCCTAGGGTAGCCGAGTGGTTAAGGCGTCAGACTCTTGGCTAGTAGATCCCGTGGTCGTGGGTTCGATCCCCACCGTCGCCTCTGGACTTTTTCTGACACCTAAGGGGACAGGTGGCCACAATTGAAAGAAATTGACATGTCACTCATCAATGGAAGGGGCGGGATCGGATCTCAGCGACCCTGAATTTGGTCCCAACCCCCTTCAAAAATGAGTTTCTTCAATGGAAGAACACTGGTACAACGGGGGGCTCAAGTTCACATTTGTGTTGCGAGCCCTCCCCCAAAATATGGAGCCAGGGATAAAGTACAATAAGCTGTACAGCTCAGCTGCAGTGCTCAGGAGGGAACTCCTCCAGTCCCTGGTATCCATTGAAAAAAAAGACAANATATATATATATATTTTGTCTAGAATTTTCAACACTTCGAAAGGGTTACCATTGTTTCCAGGTGTCACTCGACCAGATAAGAAAAGCTGGTGAGTAGTTTTGGTAGTACCAACCTAAAAGGATTTGAGTTCATGAAGTTACACACAGTTCATCATGAGGTTTCAGATGTAACTTTTCTTTGCAAAAACACAGCAGACTCCCATACAATAGGGGGATAAGTTCTACGTTGTTTTCTTTGAAGTTCTGAGGCAGAATTTCAGTTCAGACAAACCACCACTAGTCTCACCATAACAGTAATCATAATTATTTTAATTTATCTTTAAACATGTTTTTCAGGAGTAGTATTAGTAGTTTTTGTACTATTGATCTCTCTAGCATCACTGAATTTTTTCCAGCTCCTCTAGTCTAGATTAGAAGCAGTTACCAAAAGGCAAAGAGTTAACTTTTTGTCACCCGTACCACAAATTTTTTACAGAACCAAGAGCATTACAGTATAAGAAGAAGAAACAACTTTTGCTGCAGACACTCAATTTAGATTCTTTTTATTCAGTCAAATACACTGGGTGTGTAAGGAGCTTTATGATTATGCAGTTCAGTACAGCTGATTGTCAGCCACAAAGTTTCAACATAAATTTTATTGTTTCTTACTGACCTGTTATTTCTTTCTTTGTTGAAACAACAAGCGGTCAAGAAGGTAGTTTAGAAAAACCTTTTTCATTTTTTTTGCCAACGTTTCAACCATTATTCGGATCATCTTCAGAGTTCAGATCATCTTCTAATAAATGTTGAAACTTTGGCAAAAAATGAAAAAGGTGGTTTTCTGAAATATTTTCTTGACCACTCCTCACAACTTCAACAAATTATAAATTTTATTTGCAATATTATTATAATTTGTTACTACAAAGAAAATTTCATTGAAAAAAGTTCTATATGTAAAAAATTTGTATTATGTTTACAGAATGATGCAATCAACCCTATGATCATCATGGTATTCTTGCTGTTTTGATCTGCCAGCGGTTTTTATATTTTCAGTGTGGTCATGTATGTAAGTGCAAGAGAGATCTCGCTCAGGCAGGTGCTTGAGGCAATGACTTAGCATCCTTTATGTAGCCCAAGTCCTGGAGGGCAGCATTCTACCATCAATGTTGATCTACAGCATAGGGCCACCAAAAGTCTCAATCTCGGCTAGAAACAATTGTTTTATTGCTCTACGGAACCATTTTTTAACTGCTTCCTTGAAAGGTAGTCAGCTCCAAATGGTCTGTTATATAAGAGTGAGTTCTAGAAAGGTCATCAGGCTTTATGAGTATAGCCTAATCTCTAGACGTCCTGCATCAGGTTCTCTACTACAGGAGATGTAATTTTGCTTGGACATTTGCCATTGGACAGTGCCGGTTTGGTCTGTGGTAATCAGATGACCGGGACCATGTTGGACATGGAGAAGAAGAAGAAAGAAGAAAAATAACTTTATTCTGGGACTGGTGTCCCCTAAGAATAATTTACATGAACTAAATAAAGGAAGTTCCTTCTATGAAGTAAAACAAAAAAAAAAAAAAAAANTATTAAACAAAAATAACAAATGTTAACGTGAGGTCTCTGCTTGGAGGGAGAGGAGGTGATTATACAGATGGGATTTAAAGGAGGAAAAGGAGGCGGCGTGACGAATAGAAAGGGGAAGGGAGTTCCAGAGTTTAGGGGCTCGGATCAGAAAGGATCTTTCGAAGGTATGAGTTGTAGGTTGCGGAAGGATAAGGTCGATTGGGGATGAGCGGGTCTTACAAGTGAGATATGAGGAGTTGAATTGGAGGGATTGGATGATGTAAGGAGGACGATGAGTGTGGATGGACTGGAAAAGAAAGCAACCTAGGAAATACTGTGCATGGAAAGAGGGGAATAGCAAGGAAAGTTGGGAATACAACTCCGACACCCGGGATCCCCGTGGGGTGCCGTACACAAATCTTACGCAACAATTCATAATACGCTTCAATCGCGCGTTCTCTCCCTCCGAGAGACCACCGTATGCCAAACAGCTATAATCGAAGAAGGGAAGTATAAGGGAAGATACAAGGAGTTTGCAGGTGGAGAAAGGTAAGAGAAGCCAGGACTGCTTCATGTGATATGTGTGAGTGACAGCTTTTTCCAAAGCAGTTATACTGAGTGGAATCAATGTCCTTGCCTGTACTGAACAGATTATTATACTGAATTGATCTTTAACTGCATCAAGGTATAATGAGGAATTTCTCCTGGAATTCTACATTTAATTGCGACAGCTTCATGTTAATGATAATTCTAGACTGTATGTAGTTCGAGTTGTAGCCCATTACTTGAAGATTAGGGGTCACCTTAGCGAATTGGATAGCATATTCTCCTAAAGAGGCGGCTCCAGATAAGCGAGATTCGCCCAATGCCGAGCAAGGTCCACCAAATCGTGACTAGTGGGGAAGGGTGCTTGGTGCTTGTTCGACTAATTGTCAGTTTCCTTATCTGCTTCAAAGTGCACAAATATTCGTGAAGTAAATGAAATCAAAGCGACCATAAATTCAGGAATCAACTGTAATCATCAATCAATAGTAAATGTATACGTCTATTTAATGCTATTTCTTTTTAAATAATAAACATTTCTTAACTAATATAGATGTATTATTAAAATAGCAACATAGCGTTGTTTCTTTTGGTTAAGAATGGATTGGCCTGACATAACTGTTGGAGGTCCTCGATCTGTAATAATAATAATAATAATAATAATAAAGAAGTAGGGCGTGAAATGACCTTAGCCGTTAAACATCCTTAAAAATTAATAATAATAATAAAGGAGTAAATTTATTGAACTTTATACATTTTCGTTTTTACATTTACATTTACAAAAGACAATGGACATTAGTCCGTTTGCCAGGTTCCTCGATCTGTACTAAGCTAAACCAATAATTCAGAACGCTTCTCTTCTGAATCACAAAAATCGGAACAAGGTGTGCGATGTGTGGAAATGGATCGAAAGTAAGATAAACAGTACTCTGTGACTGATTTGTGATTAAGTTTGCAGCCGCTAAAACAGTGACCACAGTTGCAGCCAATGACAGTTTTTACTGTTGTCCATCGCGATTGGTAGTAAGTTGAGGGCTCGCACAGCATTCAGCAAATATGTTCGGCTGTTTCCACACAAACTGGATGGTTGGACAAACCCCATATGTGCGAATACATGGGCGCACTATTTGGCGAATGCCAAGACGAGCGAGCCACCTTAACATGAAACCTATGGGATATGATAAAGAGATGGGTTAACCACCAATCACCACCTCCAACAAGCATAGAATAGCTGAACAGCTTCAACAACAGTTTTTTTGTTGTTTTTTTTTTAAGAAGAAGAAGAATGAGAATGTGTTCCATAACACGAAATCTGATTGAATATTTACTCAATGCCTACTAGACTTAAGGCCATCCGTGAGGCCAGAGGAGGATGCGTTATTAAGAGCAAATCTAAGTGATAAATTTATCACTAAATTATTTTTCGGTATTGAGGTGAATTTTCTTTACATCATAATTAAATGTGTAGTATTTAGTGACTGTTAATGATTATTTTGGAATCGTGAAATACGGTCTTGTGTGATGGAGGTTTAAAATTTTTTCTTAATTGTGCCAAATAATCATCACAATTAAAAAATTTTGTGTGGTATTTAGTGACCGTTAATTAATGATTATTTTGAGATCATGAGATGCGATCTGGTGTATGTTGGGTTAGAAAAACATTTTCTTTATCGTGCCAACATTTTGATCTTTATTGAGATCATCTTCAGGGCTCAGTGTTAGTTTTCTGTGTAGATTGTCATTTTTGTGGCACTCTCAACATGACAGACAAGAATGACACATCTACACGGAAAACAAACACTTTGAGCCCTGAAGATGATCTCAATAAAGATCAAAGCATTGGCATGATAAAGAAAATGTTTTTCTAAATCTACGTCACACCAGACCGCATCTCATGATCTCCAAATAATCATTAATTTAAAAAAAAAAAAACCCCACATTCAATGGCTTCATTGATAGGTAGTCAACTCCAAACAACTCATACAATAAGTATAAATTTGAAAACAGTCATCAGGATTCGTAAGAACAGCCAAGTCTCTAAATGCGCTGCACTTAGTTTACTACTGGAGAGACTTTGAGTAGAAAAGCGACTATTCACAAATCAGCACCTCGCACTTGAACAGTGTGGGCTGTTCTCTTCAAAAATGAATGTCCGTTTTCTTCGTGGAAATCAGGTGCCTGGGACCGTGATTGAAGAACGTTTTGGTTCTTGTGCCATGGTACATGCCTATACCAATCTGATTATCATAATGAATGGATCTTTGACCATACTAAGGTACATTGAGGAACTGTGTTCTCATTTGCTCAATTTATTGGGAACTACTGCGATAATGCATGATACAGCTTAACTGCATGTAGCACGAATTGTCATCCATTTCTTGGAGGATTTAGGGATTACCACAATTGGCCAGCACGTTCTTCTGAAATGATTACTATATTTATTTATTACAGCAACAGCAAGCAGCCAATTTTTACAACAGTGCACATACTTGAAGTATGTGGAGTTAAATTACATAGTTTTAATTTTGACAAGAGGTGAACAGAATAAGTCCAGATCACTATTTTAGTTATTAGCTTTAGTACGTATTCTAGGAATGGGAGCATTTTTTAGGTAGTTTGTTTTACAAAATGGTATAAGGAATAGAGGAATGAATCTGGTCCTCTTATCTGGTACATTAAAAGCTATCGTCTCTAACAATTCAGGACAACTAATCATATTCCTTAGTAGTTTTACAAGAAAAACAATATCAATAGATGATCTACGATCTTTTAATGAACTAATGTTCAGTACATTTCTTAGAGTTTCATACGATATCTGGCTAGAATTTGGACCATTTAAGAAATTTGTTTTGAACAGATTCAAGTCTATATATATAAATGTGATAATAAGCTGATCACTCTACTGAGTTAAACTCTAAGATTGGCCTTATCAGAATAAAAAACAATATTTTTAGGCAAAATATACTAATAAAGCCCTGCGTATTTCTTTTCAAGAAACCAAGTAGTTTAAACATGTATTTGCAATAGATTCAATATACAGGCTAAAAGAAAGAGAAATCAAAACTTACACCTAGGTCCTTTATATTATTTAAAGCTATTAGCTCGATATTACAGATATTATAGTTAAATTGTAATGGACTAAGTTTCTTATGATAATGGACAACATAGCATTTATCACTACTTAGAGTCGTACAATTTAGATCACACCATCTGACTAGATTAGTTATGTCTTGTAACATTTCAGTCTTCAAGAGATTTTATTGTTTTAAATACTTTGAGATCGTCCGTGAACAACTTAAATTGACTATTTGGAAACACTTAACAATATCATTAACAAATATATTAAATAACAAAGGCGACATATGGCCACCTTATGGAACACCAGAAGTAACAGATATTGGTTCTGATTCCATGATTCTGATTATCTATCTTTACTATTTGAGTTCTGTTAATAAGAAAATCTCTCAACAATTCCAGCAGGCCCCCGTGAATACCAATCGCTTCTAGCTTAGAGCAGAGAAATTCATGGTTAACTTTATCAAAAGCTTTGCTGAAGTCAGTGAGTTCATGTCTATAGAACACTTATGGGACATAAAAAACAATAACAATAATAAACATTGTTTGCCACCTCCATCCAACAAGCGTTGAACAGCTTCAAACTCTATTGTTGAAGAAAGGGACTCTTTTTCACAAGTTGAAATTATTAGTTAGTTATTTACTCGATACCTAAGGGGCTCAATGCCATTTGTGAGGCAAGGGAAGGTGATATGTGTTATTAAGAATAAATCATTCACTAAATGATTTACCCGCATTTTGGTGAATTTTCCGTACATCATAATTTTTTTTTTTTTTTTTTAAACACAGTCAATGACTTCCTTGATATGTAGTCAATTCCAAACGGTTCATATTGTAGGGGTAAATTCTAGAACAGTAATCAGGATTCGTCAGAATAGCCGAGCCTGTCCCACACCAAGTTCTCTACTACTGGAGAGACATCGAGAAGAAAAGCGACATTTGCAAATCAGCATCTCACTTAGACACACGAACAATGGGGGCGGTTCTCTTCAAAAACGAGTGCCGATTTTCTGGAAAACAGACAGCTGGGACCGTGTGTGGAGAAGGCTTTGACACATGTGCCATGAGTGGACTGGGGTGGAATCAACATCCATGCCCATACTGAATGGACCCATTGAATGGATCCGCACTAAGGTACATTGAGGAACTGTGCTCCCATTCGCTCAATTTATTCGGAAAAACTACTGTGATAATACATGATAAAGCTCAACCATATGTAGCTCAAATTGTCACCCATTTCTTGAAGAATGTAGGGATTGCCACAATTAGCCAGCAAGTTCTTCTGAAGAAAATCACGACCAATGAAAGACAACCAACTGCTTCATTGGCCATGATTTGTTTAGTGTATGAGAGGTGAAACAAAAGCAAGGAAGCAGTTGGCCCTGGTCAAGGTTCGGTCTTCTGGTGTTAACATCAAAAGGGTTGATGTTGTTGACTGCGATTCCACATGGCTGAATCCCTTGGCCCCCAACCCCTTGGCTTGGTGAGATGAGCCAAGGATGGCCAGCGTTGAACAGCTTCTGACTCTCACGTTGAAGAATGGGATTCTATTGTACAAGATGAAATCCGATTGCTTATTTACTCAATGCCAAAAGCTGCGTACCCACCTGTTTGCGAACCAGGTTCATCTTTAGCGTGTACGCTTCTGTGCTCGGAGTGTAACAGTTCACAAACATTCGAGAGCGTTCCAATGGCTGTCTGTTTTTGGGTGAACTCAAAGGAGAGCACAGTAGGTTCGTGGATGGGAGTGAGGAACATTATATAGTGTACCGCTCTTGTAACCATACATCACATTGTGCAATTTCAAAAGCATGGAGTGGCCGGAAGAAAAATGTGTCGTTCTTATCGAACTGTATGAAAAATACCCAATATTATGGGATGCTAAAGATAAAGAAAAGAAGTCTCGCTCACAGAAATTTGCTCACCAAAAATGACAGGGCCTTCTATAATCTTCAGCTAAATAGTGGATGAAAATATGTGCTACACTAGCCACTATCTCGGACATGTTAATCCTTCCACGTCGGGTGAACAGTGTGGACCTCTTATGGAGCGACCTTGTCCGCGGCCTCGTCTCCACTTTAAATGATTATAGGATCATGGGGGCCACTGGTTCTCGAACATGGTGGGTATGCAGATTAAGAGGCTTAAAGCTATTTGTGGGGCAAGAGAAGGCGATATGAAGAGCTAGAGCAAAACTAAGTAATAAATCCGGTGTTTTGGTTTATTTTCTTTACATCATAATTAAAATTATTTTTATTAAAACTCGTGAATTTCTCATCATTCAGGAATTCGAAAGGCTTGTAGGTTGAGATGAGGAGTTGGTGTCCGAGCGGATGGAAGTCACGATAATTCGAGTGATTAGAGCAGAGGCGCATTGGGCCGATGGTCGTGAGTTCGAGTCCTGCTCGTGACACAAGCTTTTTCAACTCAATCAAGACCTTATATAAAAAGTATAATTAAAATTCAACAGATCTAGTGATCGATTTGACGAAGAAAATTTGGGGGGAAAAATTAGTTGAAAAATGTCGTTTATTTTTTTCTCATCCTTGTAAATAGTTCCTCCCGCTAGTCGCGCCACAAGACAAAACCTCAACGGCATAATTAAAATTTTTAATTTGTATTTTTTTTTTAAATAGGAAACGACTTTTTGCTATGAAAAATAATAATGTATTGTTAGAACGTTATATTTTGGAAGTGTAGATTTTTTTTTGTTAAGTGAACCACTTTCATACGTGTCTGAAGAAAATAAAACGTCCGCACGTAGACGAATAACCTTCGATATTCATCCGATAGAACGTAGATGTTCAATTTTCAAAAGATAAAATTCATAGCAACATGTGAGATTTTCTATTTTAAATGTTGAAGGTCGTTTGATTTGGAAGTGGGGTCGTCCGGCTTTTTTCTTCGCAACGGATCATGTTTTAACATGAACGTATTGGTCCAAACCGAGCAGAACGGGCCAAAACTCGGATCAAATCTGTTTCAAAATCCTGTACGATGAATTTATTTATTTTTTTAAAATAAATCCAAGGTGTAATTGAAAACAAAGGAGGCTCAGGTGTTTTTAACAAAATGTAGAGCATAGTTACCTGGTTCTTCTTCATGTTTGTTTAATCGGCTGTTGTATGGAACGATGATCCGTGGCGACTGCGAATGAGAACCACGAGGGCCAAGAATTCGTTAGAAACGGACCAGGATCATGAATAGGAGGAACGGCCGGGGGGACGAATAGAAAGAAAGAGGGGGTTGTGAGGGTCGGGGCCCCTTTCAAGCAGTTTTGACTTGAAAACCCAGGTAAAAAGGGTGTTTTTGAGGGGAGGAAACTTCGATTCCGGAGAATAAACTTCGGCGGGCGTCTATTCGGTGCGGCTGTTCCGTCGTGAGACTGGATGCGCGTCGCTGCTTGCGATTGACTGAGCTGCCGCCAAATCGGGATCGTTCTTCGCGGGGCGTCGATCCACTCGGCTCCACCGGCGTCCAAGGACGATTCTCCTTTTAAAATCAGGTCGAGTTTCCCGAGGCGAATTTTCCGTCGTACTCGCGCTTTTTCCAAGTTTAGCCTGGTTTTTTTTACATTCCTCGCTGGAAATCACTGGAAGCCGTGGTCGGCCGGATCAATAACGCCGCATGATTGAAATGATGGAGGGGGGTTTGGAGGGAAATTCAAAAACTTCAAGAAACCCTGCTATTACATGATAAATAATGGAGTATGTTATAAAAACATAATTCTTACTCACAGTTAGTTATTTACATGTTTTCACCGGCCGGATTTCAAGCTTATAGCTCATCATCAGATTGAAGATATTTACAATCTGATCCCGTAAATCCCGTTCATACCTAAAATACTGGTTTTACCACTGGGAACTGGTACAAGAGTTCAATGTTTGATTTATTAGAAATTTTCACTTAATTATGGTACATAAATCTATCTTGCTCTGTGTCCACCAGATTATTTTAATTCATTTATTTATTTATTTTTGTTTTCTTTCTAATCATATTATAAAACAGAAAATATTATATTTTATTAGCTATTTTATTATTTTTTATCAATATTTTATCAGTACTTGTGATTCCAAGCAGACGATGTACATTCTTATGTTTTTAAAAGGGTATATTTTGTTATTTACAATAATTATCAAATAAAATATTATTTCCATTATATTTCGTGGTCCGATTGACCAAATAACTTCTTTCAATTAATTAATTTTTATGTAAGGTATTGGTTGAAATGAAAAAGTTAGTGCCATGAGATAAGGAGTTGGTGTCCGAACGGATCAAAGTCACGATAACTCAAGTGGTTAGGGCAGCGGCGTATTGAGCCGAAGGTCGTGGGTTCAAATCCCACTCCCCTTCAACCAGATCTTACATAAAAAGATTAATTAATACCTTAAGTTTATGATTATTCACAAACTAAACAAGAATTTATTTGTAAAAATTGAGTTTGTTGGTGAATTGAGAAAGATTAATGCTGGAAAAGGAATTTATCGTTTATGAGATTATTATTTCAAGTTAAAAAAATAATTTTGACTTCAAAATTGTCATTAATTTAGAAATGGAATAAAATTAAATGATTTATATTTTGACAGGAATGTATATGATATGCTGCAACCATGAATGAGTCACTCAATGCGATAGTTTTCTTTTAATTAAGTTTGATTTAACATAAATAATTTAATTTCTCAAGTTGGCTCCTTTTATGGAGTCCCCCTACCCGTCGTAACAAATTTCAACTAATTCTCAGAAAAAAATTGAATAATCCGTTAGGTTTTACTAATATACGTTCTTTTATCTAAAAACCTAAATCTTCTTTTCTTAGTTCTGCACCAAATTATAAGCGACAGCCTGCAAAAAATTTAAACTCATCTTTTATATAATTTTTCAAGTGTTTTACCAGCCGAGAAAGTATTTTCCCGTACTATTAGGTTTATCTAAAATTTTCAGTGTTTTCCAAGCGAAAAGTGGACATCAATTTTGTCAATTGTTCACTGTCTGTCAACATCCGTTGTTTTATCTTTCACTCTTTTTAGATTTGCTAAATTATTGTCCCAGTCATTTAAATGCGAGCCACTATGTGGAAGCCTTTGGCATTAGTTTTTAGTTTGACTAAAATTTCAGGCATAATTTGTAGTCATCACCATAATAACCATCATTTTGCTTATTTTAAGAAACAAAAATTGAAAAGAACTTTCAGCTATTTATTGTTGGTATAAAATAATGACTTATACAATTTTAAAAATTAAGCAATACAATATAAAAGCATAAGAAGTGTTATGTTGGGATATTTATTTATTACAATTTAAAGTTTCGTCTGGAATTATAATTAGCACAAAAGCTAAAAAAAAAATAAAAATAAAAAAACAAGTCAGCGAAGTGAATTTTTTCCTTCAATGACATCAGACACTATCCATGAGACTGCATCCTTTTATGGCGACTTTTAAGGCCTTTCTTACAGTTGGCTGAAAAACACAATCACGTCATTTAACAAAATTTGCAGTGTGGGTGAAAATTCAAAATTTACTCACAAAATAAACATCGGGATCTTTTATATGAATTGAACACATGCTCCAATTATGAAGCCGATGGGTCAAGTTTATTTCAAAGTTTGTGAGGTTCAAACTTCTAAGCACCTTTACAATTTCCTCTTCAGGCAGCCTGGCACAAAATACATAAGTTAAGGCTTCTCACCTCCTTAAGAGGTCTGAGGAAGATGACGGGCAAAAATGATCGAAAACTCTCTCCATGGGGAAATATGAATTATCACAATTTTAAATTTTTTTTACTATCATTTGCCATTTAATCCTCATAAACCTCTCACTTTTACCTACTATGGAAATATTCCATAATCAATCTCAGATATAAACCTCCTAAACACATATCACCTATGACACACATGACCTGATCATCCTTCTCCCAAGACTCTTTTTCGTCTGCTTTTTCCTTTGGAAATATTGCCATATAATATAAATAATTATTGTTTATTTATTTTTTAAATGTATTTAATCACTCATCCATTTATTTTCCTGCACTGAAGAACACCCCTTTTTGTGGAGTGTCCTGAACGAGAAGGAAAAAAGAATCCACACCCTCAGGGGTGGAAAACTCCTTTTAAAATGTTTAATACCCATCCTAGATTTACATGTCATTTCTTGACACCAATTTAGTTTCCGTCCTCGTCATTCCGTGATTGAGCAATGTTTCAGGGTTGTTGACACTATTTCATCTCCTTTAGAGAATAGAGAGCTAAAACGGTTCCTATCCACTCCTTATTACCAAATCCTATCTAGCAGTTGCTTCAGAGTAAGGTGCAGCGATGAGTTCTCGAAATAAGACTGATCCTGACTAGCGCTCCACAAGTGAGCATTCTTGGTACTCTCTTATATACGACTGTTAATGCTGTATACCTGTATACCAACTGCTGACCTGTTGTTACAGCCCAACACCATCATCACAACTTATATGGAAAGAACCACTCCAGTCATATCCAAGATGCCTCCAATATCCAGGGGCATTTGAGCTCATTGAGGAATGGTACAAAGTGTAGAAGGTGAAACTGAATTGCTCCCTGATTAGCCAACTAGTTAAAGCACTACTGACCAAGAAAAATTCTTAGGGCTATGTAGGCAGTAGAGAATCCTCACCAAAGAATCAAGCAACAAGAACTAAATAGACGATTTGGACAACTGTGAAGGCATAGGAACAAAATCAAATGACAAAAATGTCAATATAAAACCAACTAACCCAGTATACACATTACTTCAACCTATTTGGACATATGGAGCGGAACTGTGAGGTACCACCAATCCATCTAACATCCAACGAATCCAAGCATTCCAATTAGAAGAATTCTCCAAACTCCTTACCAAGTCTTCAACCTTATTATCCACAATGACCCTTCATCAAGCCTTCTCCACTTCTTCCCATCCCGAGAACCATCCTTGTCACCTCAAACAAAGATGTTACATGACCTTCAAGTGAAGTACTGTTATTTTGCCCAGGATTTTATAGCTTAAGATGAATTTGTAATGTGTATAATTCATTTCCATGGTAGAAATAAAACAAATAAAAATTTAAATTAAGTTTGAAGTAGAAAAAACTATTATGCTGGCTATAATCAAAGTTTTTCTGGCTATGAGATTTTTCTTAAAATAAAAATTGTAAATAAAATAAACCTTACATGTTTCTATAGCATTTTAAATAAAAAATCACTCCATCATCATCATTTGAATTTCTTGTTGTAACACTGTTGCTTCTTCCTTCTTCAGGGGGATGATTATGTTGATTGCCATCTTCTATCATTTTATTTGATGCAATTTCCTTTTTCAGCCTTTTGACATCAGCCTGGCGTTGGGAGATTATCAAGAAGACACTGAGCTTATCCAATTTGTCGGATGCCATCCTCATGGCTTTGATTGCATCGTTCAACAGCCTCACACCCTTCGTTTTTAATTTGGATTTATTATGGCTCATTATGATTCTGAATATATCTTGGCCATGTTTAGACATTTTATTATTCATATTCTGAAATTTGTGTTAATGAAATCAATTTAAAATAAAGATAAAATTTACAGTATAACGAATGGAATTTATAATAGATAATATCTGTAAGCGAACTGATTCATCCAAGCTCTTGCACATCAACAGCACAGTTCGTAGGTGGCCCCCAGAGAATCTAAACCGCAGAAGGATCAAACCAACCCAACTCAGATGGCACATGGACACTTACTTTTGGGACAAAGCCCACAAATATGCCTGGTATGTAAAGCAAGGTAGCTCAACCCATATAATCGAAGGCTGCAACTTCTTGGCTCTCTATAGGGAGCGAGTAGGAATGCAACCTGATATGAAAATTATACTTGAGCATGGCAACGAATCTTTGGGTCTGATATTCAAGAAGATTTCTAGAGCCTAACTTCGACGGTGGCATGGATAAGTCCACGGTCTGACTCCAGGCTACGAAAACCATAGCTCGGTTTTGTCCGATGTGGACACACGTGAATATGCAAAATTGAGATAACATAAATAAACACAATACATAAATTAAGTAAAATAAATAAACACAATATTGAAATGCAAGCTTCTACGTGTAACAGGTTATTGAAAAATTCTCATTAGTCTCGACATATAGAACATGAGGTGCGACTATAGCAATAAAATTAAAAGGAGTGAAGCCTCAAGTGAGTAATTTTGAGAATGCACCCAACACAGCATATAAACTGACACTTTTCTTTGACAGGGTTTCTTTCTTTCGAATTCTCTTTTTGCAAAAGAGCAAGCACAAAAAAGTGCTCCTTATTTCCTCGGGTCTAACATCATACTGACCTCCAGTTGGGATGAAAAGTTGATTCCACAAATAGAACGACACCAGCCAAGAAAAGCAAAAAAATGGGGGAACTTAGCCAAAAAAAAGTGTGGATGTATGTTGTTACAAAGTCGTTCAACTAGCCACCTGAGGCTTCTGTAATGACAGCAGTTTTGACCAAAGCGTTTTTCAAGAAAAAAATCCAAAGTGATGGCCAAGACAACCCTTTGAGTCGATTTGAAAATGCCAGGCATTTGGTAGTTGCATGTATTGAATCAGCTTTTATTTTATCGATTGTAAGACGCAAAAAAATGGCTGAAAAGCTTGAAGACATGTAAATTGAACATCAAGGAAGAGAAATTTACAACCTAAATTGCTTGTAAAGGACACAGCAACAGAGACTGAATGAAAATCACAAAATCTGTATCGATTTACCTAATAATAAAAAGACGTTTTAAGAAATACTGGGAAGAAGACTTAATAGAAAGAGCGTGGCATAAATAATTGTCTAAAAATTTGCAAATTTATTTCTTGCACAATGTTCTCTTGTAATTTCTCTTTGGATACTGTCTGCAGAAATTAATTTCAATTGGCAGTCATTCTCACCCAACGCTTCATTATGACAAAGCCAGGTCTATGCAATGCGTCAAAATTGATTGAATATAAAATTCTAGCATTGCATAAATTTTTTTTTTTCTTTTTCACATCCTACATGTATTTGTAAAATTTAAACACTGTAAATAAATCCCAGATCCTGCTTATGATCTCAATAATAATCGAAACATTGGCTCGATAAAGAAAATGTTTTTCTAAAACCTACGTCACACCAGACCGCATCTCACTATCTTCAAATAATGCATCAAACATTGATTCAAGAATTTGATTCGTTTGTGCAAAATGTCTGCAGTTGTTTGAGACAAGTGTTTCTGCTTCACGGTGAAGTGAATGTTTGATCCGTTTTAGTAGGTTTGAAAGTAATACCGGAGGACACTAATTCGAGCAAAATATTCGAGAATTCCTTAGCCTGGAGAGTAAAAGACCATTAACCACCGGAACGTTCAAAGCTCGATAGAAGTAACGCTACACAATGCTACAAACAGAAGCATCCTACATTAGAAGTACGTAGCATCGTGTAGAGCCGGGTTAAGACAGAAAAGGGTAAGCAGGCGGGAGAAAACCGCCAAAAAGCATCGCGGTGTAGAATTTGCGCCAGAAGACCATTCCAAGGTTAATAAATTAGTCTGACACAACATTGACATTAAAAGAACCATTAAAAATCATAATATGCTAAAATTACTAAATATACATTACGTTGTTAATAAGTTAAACTGACAATTGAATTAACGCTTTATAAACACATTTATTGGTATTTTACTGCAAATTTTATTTTAACAATTAAAGTCCTCAAAGAAATTAGTGTCTCACCGAAAAATATCGTCGCTTCTTGTTCTTTAATAATAAATAATTTAACTAAAAATTATTTACGTTGCTGGAAATAAAATGCCTGCTCAAATGAAGACGCCGAGTGCAAAAAGGCTAACAAACGAGCGGCGACTGCTGATTGGTCCTTTCAAGGTAACAAGTGCGTAACCTTCTCCGTTATCGAAGGCGTGCTGCCGGCCGGTTACAATGCATCACCTTGTCACAAAATTAACCTTGAAAAGATGATAAATGGTAATTTGATAATATGTTTAAAACAATTTATCATTAATTAAAAATACTTATACTTACAAAAATACTTACAAAAAAAAAGAATTGTTTCAAAACTGGAAAATAAAATTATTTGTTAAAAGTTATAGTATTTCAAAAACAACGGCTCTCCTAGGGTTCATATAACCTGGTAGTTGGAATTCCCTCATAAAAAACCAAATTGTATTTAATTGAAAATGTATTTTTCACAAAACGTATTATATATGTATAATTAATAAATATTAAAAAATAATAACCGAAAAGAAAATTAATAATTATTGATTTATTTAGATCAACTCTGTACATGTATGTACATACATAAAGCAATGAAAAATTTAATTGTAGTCAAGCTTTCAGCCTATTTATTGTCTTTTTCAGGACTAAATTATATAACATAAATTGAACAAATAGCATCAAAAGGATTTTTTTTAGCGTCCATACACTTTTTTTGTACATTTTCTTTGCTGGCTTCCTCCCTTATACTCATACTACACAAGAGATATCAGAAGGCTGACAAAGTAATATATTCACATGAGTACAATTGAAAAAAAAATCATATAAATAAGGAAAAAATGAAAGTGTGATGATTCGAGATATTGTGGCTGAGTGGTTTTCCAGAAAAATAATTGTCACAATTTTGCAAAAGTTTAATAGAGGTCGATTGGATGATGATGGGAAAGTAAGGGTGCGAGAGGTGTCATGAGTTGCCCATTTTTTACAAAGAAGCCTGATACACATTGGATACGGCTTCAGCCCATGTTTGTGTCCACCTAGAGCTCTTAAAATTTTGGAAAATGGGATAAATACTGGCTTAAAATAATTACACAGAAAACAGACACTGAGCCCTGAAGATGATCTCAATAAAGATCGAAACGTTGGTACGATAAAATGTTTTTCTGAAACCCACATCACACGATTTCTGAATAATCTTAAAATAATTTGTATTATTATTTTAATTAATTATACCTTTTATCTAAGGTCTTCACTGAGATGAAAAAGTTAGTCTTGAGAGAGGGATGGGTTTGAATACCACTCGTGACACTAACTTTTTCATCTTGACCAAGACTAGATAAAAAGGGTAATTAATTAAAACAATAAATAAGGTCAAATATGACTACTAAATTTATATGGATTAATTTATTACTTTCTATTGTATTTAAATGATACTTCTGTATATTTTAATTAATTTTTTTTAAAAGTTTTAGGGCTGACAAACCACATTGGTCAGTCCTTTCTGCTTTAGGTTTGCATTTCTTTTCTTAACTTTCCTTTTTTTTTAAACCTTCAATTTTTTTACTGATTCTCCTCCCAAGTGATGATGTTTTTATAATGGTAACCAACTGTCTCTTTTCTTTATCCTACTCCGTACTTCAGATGTTGAGGGGGGCCTTGAGACGATGATGCTGTGCGTAACGAAGCAGTACAGCCTCTTTGGAAAGACAATATGAACACTAGGGTAATTAGCGAAGGTATGGAAATAAAGGATCATTTCCATAGATTTTTTAAGTCACAGTTGAAGAAACAGAGTCTAAAATCATCAAGTCATTACACTACAAACTTTCGAGGAATACATACTATTCATCAGAACTTTGAAATTTTAATTATTAATTTAAAGGGTCAACAAAAATATGAACATCTATTCACAATTTTGAAAGCCATGGTATTTTGCAGCTATTAGCAATTTCTTCATTTTAATTTCTTTTCAGCACACATTTGCTAGACATTTATCTTCCTTAGCTATCACCAACAGGATTAAAAAGGAATTACAATTTAATTACATAATTACACAAAAAGTTTGCAAAATCACTTGTTATTAATATGATTGTGGATTATTATACTTTCCTAAAGGTAGATTGGGGATGAGGCCATGAATCCCAATCTACCTTTAGGAAAGCATATTTAAACTGAGAAGGCTGATTAAACACCAAAGAAAATATTGTGGATTATTATTATTTATTTTTAAACTAGGGTATTTTAACTATGAGGTTATATGAACCCTCGGGATGAAGGTTGTTTTGAAAAAAAAAAAAAAAAGAAAGAAAAAGAAGCCCATTTGTAAGTATATCGGGTTTGAATTCAGTAGCCTGCATTCAAACCTGGGACCTTTACCATACAGTGATGAGCGTCGTGTCAACGCCTAATCCATTGTGGCGAATGACGCCCCAATTAATTTTTTTAAATAGCTATTTGGTGAAGATTGTGATAACAAAATATAATCATAATTATTCATTAAATAACAAGTATCTTTTATACATATTTACATGACTAGATAACAAATTAAATTACAGACAATATAATTTTAACAATTGTTATTTTGACGAAACAGTTCATTAAACTTTGCGAAAGGCATCACTGATTGTCCTTTGTTTCTTAAAATTCTTTAGGCTGTTTGATTTTTTCAATTTGACATTTTTTACTTTTGTCGTCTGTGAATGTTGAAGCTGAGGGGCAGACAGAAGACGTTGAAAAGTAGGCTTAACCGTTTCCATTTGGCTGAGAAGAATCGCTTTCTGAATGTCCTTTTCCAACTGCGAATCAAAATCGAACTTTGTCTCGATTTGGCTCAATCTGAGAGCTTTTTTCAAGTCTTCATCGGAACATTCATCATCGGGTATATCTTTAACTTCCTCATTCCTTGGAGATTTTTTCTTTGGAGACTCTGAGTACTTCAATTTTTTCTTTGCTTTAGGCGTAACATCGCTCTCTGAATCAGACTCTATTATTGGTTTGCGTTTCTTAATAATTGTAAAATTGGGTGTAACATATTGGTCATCAAAGCTGGTCTCGCTCGTCGAACTACCAGGTTCTGGATCCTTCCTTTTTAGTTTATTACCTTTTTTCTTGGCCAGTTTTTTCTCGGCGATTTCCAACATGGACGGCTCGCCGATGGTGATCTCTTCTTCTGAATCGACACAAAAGGAATCCTAGAAATTATTTGAATTAATTTGATTCTCTCAGAAGCTTGTACATTTTTTAAATAATTTACATTTTGGTAATCAACGTCTTGTTCCACTTGCTGGGAGTATACATCAGCCTGATTATTACAATGAGAAGGAATCTTGAATTTCCCATGCATCGGACTTCTACAAATGAAAAAATATTAAACAACTATTGAGTGATTTTTAAACATCCTGTGGAGATAGAAGAGAGAAAATTCACAAAATTTTGCTGCATGCAAGTAACACTTCTTTTTTCTCCCCTGCTGTCTGCTTACAAGAAACTTTTTATTATAAGTTCCTTAAAAAGTACCTTTCTTAATAAAATAAATGTAATAATACAGGGGAAAGAAAATAACATCGTCCAGTGATGAGAGAGTCTAGTTATTAGAAGTGTACATTTGGGGAAGTTTGACTGTGATTGTATAGAAAAGTTTTTACTCTATAAGAAACAATTTTTTCTAGAATAGAAATATACTTTTCTTTATTATTAGTATTTATTGCTACGCACTTCACAGATTTAAGGTAGTGTGTGTTAGTTATATCAGCATCAGAAAGAGATTCATCATCAATGAAGCTATTTTTCTCGTCTTGACTGTTTGATGTGTCACAACTTTCATCACTCGATAGAATCCCACTCTCTTCAGCTTCATATTCGATGTATTCATTTGCCTAAGGGAAAAATATACAATTTCCAGTAAATTAACTTTCAAATAAATCACTGTAATGCCTCACCTGTTTGGGTTTTTTAGTTTTCTTTTTCCGTGCGACTTTGTTGGGTGAGGGTGATGGACTGGGAGATAGAAGCAAACTTCGCTTCAACTTGGCCGGACTTATAAAATCGTCATCTGATTGTTCGGATTGAAGGTGTATTTTTTGAGAAGGGAGTATGTTTTTACAGATTGAATCAGTTTGTATTTTATTTTTGAATTTCTTAAAATTGGAGTTAGTATTTTCTGAATTTTGTTGAGTTTCTGTGTCAAATTCCTGAAAATCCAAAGTACAAACAGGCCCTTCATTTATTTTATTTACCGATTTTTTTGGACAATCTAATGATTCGTTATGTTTTTTATACGTGATTGTTTTTTCACAAGATTCATCTGGACTGTTTTTAAATGAAATTTCTTGGCGAGATTCTTGCTTTTTGTCTTTCATAATCATGCTCGTCAATTTGGTGACGCTAAACATGGTGCTCTCGTGACGACTTGGAGGAAGTTCAACATTTGCAAACATATCATCATCTTCATCAAACAAAGCGCTAATCTCCCAGAGATCTTTTTCTTCATCCTTTTTAACTTGTGTTTCAATTTTTTTAATGCTCTTTTTAAACGTTTTACCTTTGTTTTGAGTGTACTTTGGTGTAGATGAAATAAATGCAGAATTGATGAGTGAATTATTTGAATTAGTGTTACAACTGACAGGGCTTTCACTCAAGACATTATTTTCTAACAGACTTTCTACTTCAATCTGAAACTTGTTTTTTGATAAACTATTCTTTGATGGTTGTTTCATGTCATTAAATAAATTCACATCCTTTTTTGCTGTTTTATTAAATAATTTCTCAGGGGTGAAGGATTCTTCTTTAGATTTCACACAATCATCTTCAAATAAATCATCATCTCCAAACAAATCGTCAATACTGACGATATCAGGATCAGTTTTACTTTCATCTTTTTTCATTAATTTGTCCTTTTCATCTTGGAGAGAATTTAACACATCTTCATGATTTTCTTTATTTTGCGAATTAGTTAATAATTGTACCATTTTGGATTTTTCTTTGTTTTCTTCAACAACCGCATCATCAGGGCTGAAGTCAGCATTGTCGAAAAGATCATCGATGCCTACAATATCATTTGATTCTTCGTCTTCAGAAGAAATTTTAACAGTGTCAGGTAGTGAATCAGCATTATCTGTCATAATTTCCTCTCTTTTGTCATTACATTCAATCATGAGCTTTTCGTCTGCCGTCAAATTTAAATTTTTCAGATTGTTGGGTAGTGAATCAGCATTGACTCTCATAGTTTTAACTATATTGTCGTTGCTTTCTATCATCAGCTTTTCCTGTGGCATAATATTTAGATTTTTGAAAGTGTTTGGTTTAAAAAGAAAGTCAATGTTGAGTGAGGTGTCAAATTTAGGAATTTGCAGAGGATAAACTGGTTTTGGAGTTAGGTACTTATTTAGCCTGTAACCCATCTCGACATTCTTTTCAAAAGCACATGTTAACGCCTCGCTGTACAAAAGTTCTTTCAGGTATTTTTCATCAATTTTGAAAATTTTAGATCCGTTTTCTATTTCTATTTGTTCATCATCGATTTCAATCGGCACAGGTGAATCTGGGCTTCTAATATCAATAATTTCAACTTTTGCCTTTTCAGCAGCGATTGCCATGCATGAGCGAATATCCATGCCATCATTTTTAGAATTGAGTTTCTTCTTCTTGGCTTTTTTCTCTTCATTTTCTTCAGGCAGTTTGGCCGTTTTTTTACCCACTATGCGATTTCGACTTTCATTATCTTCCTTCCTGGATGATTCGTTTACGATCAATTGTTCCAATTCTAGGGAGGATAAAATCGAAGTTAGGTCATACAAGTTAGGTCATCATTGAATTTCTAATTTACCTTCATCACTGATATTGACAAAATTTTTAACATTCCTGGAGGACTGGAGCAGTTCGCAAAAATGTTGGGATCTCAATGTGTTGCTGACTTTGAATGATTTGTGAACTTCAAGATTCCAATCGTTCCAATAATACAGTCGACTCCACTTTTTACTGAACAGTTCATCTGAACCCATCTTGTTATCTAAATGAGACAATTTAAGCTTGATGGGAACAACAGTTAACAGGTTATTGCCATTCAGACATCTTGGATGTTGTCAGGATGGATAATTCTAACATTAAAAGGGTTGAAAATATTTATATGAACTGAAATTGTGTTTTTTGATTATATTGTAGCATTACAGATTAGCCACAAAGGCATCATTGGTGTTGTTTCACCAGGCAGATGCCGATACCATGGTGTCAAGTGCTCAAAAAATATCTACCAGATAAACGCATCAAATAAAATAGGTCCCACAGGGAACATGCTAAGCAAATAATCATGCAGGATGTAAATATATTTTTGTTTTTCATGCTTCAGATAAAGAGGTTAAATAAATAAATAAAATAAAATAAAAAATTACTAAATCTTCTGTGCCAAATTTCTTCACATCTTGGAATGTGGTCCATATTGACATTATTTGTCCCCAGTTCACTAAATACCTAAAAATAAATAATTTTACGGTAAAAAAAACCTGTTCTTACAGAGACTGCTATTAAATTTTCCAAAATTTAGCTAAGGCAAAAAAAGTTATTTATATCAAGAATGATAACTAGAAGAAAAATAATAATGAAACTTAAAAGATACAATGAAATAATTCTCATAAACAGTGATTGTTTCATGAATATATTGAACAATTAACATTGATAAATGTATAAAAATAAAAGAAAGGTGTTTCTGACTTTTAATATAATTTTTTTTTTAAATGAACAGCAAGGCTGGCAAACTGAAATCTAATTTGAGCAGATGAAGTCCTGACAAGAAAGTGCAGGAATTTAAATGCAGTGAAACCACTCCTAAAGAGCACTCCTTTATAGTGGCCACCTCTCTTAACGGACAATTTTGCATTCCACCCAAAAAATATAAAAATGGTAGGTATACATTTCAAAACCCTGTGTAACGGAACCCCTCCATACCAGTCACGGCCATTACCATCAGTCCCTTTCAGGATAATTCATCCCTCTAAGGACATAAATAGTAAAAATATATTAAACATTTCAAAAAATAATTGTTATGATCATTTTAAATTTTTTTAAGTCAGAAATATTTTTTTAAGAACGTTGTCAATAGCACGAAATCCTTCAATAAGAAATAACAAAAACGGTTTTATTTAAATTTGGAGCGTTTTGTGCACAACTAATTTTCCCTCCTAATTTTCTCCTCATATATCCTGTTTTCATAGATTTGGACCAAACGTTTTTGCTAATTCTTGTCCAAAATATCAGACACATAATCACCACTTCTTGTGAATAAGCCTGGTTTCGCCAAAACTTATTTTTTTAATTTTCCATCTTAACATTTTTATTTTGCCATTCTACTTACTCAAATCAACTATATCATTTTACAGCATTTTTTTATGTATAGTGCAATAAAAATACAGTAAACGCTATCAAATTTTATCAATAACCAAAAAATTTCTAAAAGGCAAAAATTTTTCAAGTAAAGTAGGTTATAACATTTTTTTCCCCCCGAGAAACTAATATGAAATTTCTTTTAGCACCTCTAGAGACCCCTAAATATAAATTTTTATTATTTTGAAATATAAATTTAAATTTTTTAACAACTTTTGAGAAGTTGTTATTGGAACATCAGATTGAAACGGATATAATTGAAAAACTGCTAAAAGGATTTTAACGTCAAACGGACCATTTGAAAGAAGAGGAACATAGCTTTTTAACGACTTATATCTTTAAACTTTTTCATCTAACCAAGACCTTAGATAAAAAGTACACTTAATTAAAATTAATACAATAATACACTCAATTATGACTACTAAACATAATATAATTAATTTAAAGTGATCACCAAGCATACCACTTCGTATTCTTCTTCAGTTAGAAAAGGTGATTTATGTATCGGCATGCAATTTCTAATGTCTATTTGTTTTTTCGGCTTCTCAGGTGTCGGTCCATCATCATCGACTGAAATATGCACCAACTGTTTCACCGGTTTCACATCTACAATAAAAACAATTAAAACCTTTGTTTACAATATTTGTACATGTGACTTACTTGGTGGAAACATGGATGGGGAGAACTGACAGAGGCTGGCTTTGATAGCGCTCGAATTACAGATATTATTAACGTATGATTTTCTTGTCATCATTGCTTCGTGGAATTTCTGCAAAATTACAATTTGTATTTTTATTTTATTTATTTTTTTTAAACAACGGTCCAAGATTTACCTGTTCTTCCTTGCCTTTTGTCAAAAGGATGATGCAGTGCCCCTTTCGTTTCCTGCCAGTTCGGCCAATTCTTTGTACGAGGCGGCCCGGTGATTTGTGGGCTTCCATTAGGATTATAAGGTCAACCTCACCAATATCAAGACCTTCTTCAGCGACACAAGTAGCCACCAGGCAGTTAATAGTACCATCGCGGAATTCTTTCATTATCTAAGATTTAAAAAAATGAATTAAGGTGAAATATAAATTGGCCGGTTTGTTATCTTCTCAAAAATATAGTAACTTTGTGTGTGAGAGTTAGGCGATAGCAATGACATGTTGACTGCAGCTTATGCCATTTGGTTGCCCGTGGCAGAACCCAATTTATCACATAAAATAGCTCTATGGTACATAAAAATATAAACAATTTTTTTTTATTGCATTTATCTCAGTGATATAAATTATATGACTCAACAGGCAACGTCCACCACAATGCTAAGTCAATGAAGAAAGCAACCCGCAGAACATTTGTTCAATTTGGGGGTGTAGTTGAATAAAAATCATTTCAACTTTCTACAATAATTTTCTTTTATTTTATGTAATCATATAAAATGAGGAAATAATTAAAATGACCAAACACATACACAAAAGGCAAATTACGTGGTTTTTGTAGAATAAATAAAAATATTGCAGTTGAAAAAAAAAAATTGAAATGATAGTAGCAAGTGACACTTTTGCCCTTTCTGGGGCCATCACCAGGTCCACCAATTTCAAACGGAATTATGTAGTGGATGAAGTGGAGGGAGAGTTTAAAAGTAAATAAGGATGTAGACCTAGCGTCATCTGCAGTCAACGTGCTAAGACCAGCTATTTTAGTGAAAAATTCACAGACATACACACTTAAATTTCACAACAATTTACATTTTAACCTGTTCAAACATTTCAAATTCAGAGTATGTATGCTGTTTGAAAATAAAATAAAATTTTAAATACCTGTAGTTGTTTTGTCTGTGGCATACCTTTCTCCTTTCCTCCCGACTGGCCGATAAATATTGCCGATTTTATTAGAGGTTTGCTTTTTTCAAGTAATTCCACAATTTCGGAAACTATCGTCCTGTACTATAAAAAAATAAATAAAAAATAATATGCTTATTTCTTGGTAATAATAAATTTCCATGCGTTTAATTTTTACCTGGCAAAATACAATGGCCTTGGTCTGTTTCTTTGATTCGTCAGCTTTTTTGAAATGTGTGCTCAAAGAAGTTACCAAATGTTGCAATTTCGGGTGACTCCAGATGTAAGGTAAGTTCTGGGTCTTTGGATTTGAGAGGAATAATAATTATATGTTAGGGGAAAACATGTTTTTTTAATACTCACTGAAGTATTATAGAGAACAGTCTTCAGTTTTTTCAACAACTTTGCCAGATCCTCGTCGTTTTTCAACCTACTCGAAGCCGCTTTGCATTTCTCCCTGGTGTCGTCTAAACCAGAGCAAATGACAAGTAAAAAAACTTTAATAAAGCTCTTTCAGACAAATACCTGACAAATATGAATAAAAAGCTCTTAAGCCGTAAATCTCAAGAAGTTCCAATGAATGCGCTAGTGACATGCAGATTGTAAAATCGCATATGAGACTACCAACGACTGCTGAAGACATACCTCTGTGAGGATTTGCACGGAATTTTTCCATAGCTTTAAGTACCTAAACAATTATTAAATTGAATAATTTCTTTACATTTTGTAACATATAATTTCTCAATACCTGAAATTTTGTAACTGTAGAAATGTTGTTTGTTAATACTTTGAATTCTTTTAACCGTCTAGCATATTTTTCATAGACCTAAATTTTACAAGGTTAATTTCGTTATCTCGAGATAAATTTTCAGAAATAAATACCTTTAAAAAATCATCACGCACTACTTTCATTTCAGAAGATGGTGAAACGACGATGGTGTCGATTGCACGGGAATGAGTGTAAGGAGCGACGTCCAAAGAGTCTTCCCCTCTGATTTCCAATGCGGCAATTTGCAAATTTTCGATTACCTGTCAATGAACAACCATGGCACTTAAATTACATAAATTGAAAACAATGATCCTAATTCAATCTGACATAAACAACATCAAAACAATCGTAAATCCTTTAGGGATCAGTTAATAAAATACTACAAATTTATCCTTTTCAGAACCAATTATGGTAAAATACATTCCCTTGCCTATATTCTCAGCTGCTGCATGACCCCATTTCTCTGCCTGATTTATTTTTCGCTCTTACTACTTTTGAGGTGCACCAATTCCATTCAAAATTTGACAGTATTTCTCACATATTGTTTTCTAACCTACATCACATCACACTGCATCTCACGATCTTTAAATAATCTTTAATGAACAGTCACTAAACATTACCCATAATAACCAAAAACAAAATAAATAGTGATTATTGATTTATTTAACTCAACTCTGTACAAGTATGTATATACATAAAGTGAAGAAAAACTCAACATTTATTTAGAAATCGTGAGATACGGTCTGGTGTGTTGTAGGTTTCAGAAAAACATTTTCTTTATCGTGCCAACGTTTCGATCTTTATTGAGCCCTGAAGATGATCTCAATAAAGATCGAAACGTTGGCAGGATAAATAAAATGTTTTTCTGAAACCTACATCACACCAGACGGCATCTCACGATTTCTAAATAAATATTGATTAACGGTCACTAATCATCACACAAAAAAAAACTCAAAACTTGTAGTCAAGCTTTTGACCTATTTATTGCCTTCTTCATGATTACAGTTCTACAACTTAATCCATTTATGTTTAGTGGTCTAACCGACCACATTAATTATTCTTTTTATGTATGATATTGGTTGAGATAAAAAGCTAGTGTCATGGGAGGGATTCAAACCCACAACCTTCAGCTCAATACACCGCTGCACTTGAGCTATCATGACTTCGATCCACTCAGACACCAACTCCCCATCTCAATTTGCATTTTGGTCATTAGAGGTTAGGTAAGCGCTGTGTTGAGCTGAAGGTTGTGGGTTCGAATCCCGCTTGTAACACTAACTTTTTCATCTCAACCAAGACCTTACATAATACCAAGACCTTTACATCTTAAAAATAATAATTAATTTCTATAACTTAAATTGAACAAAGAGCACAAAACGATTTTTTTTAGCATCCATGCACTTTCTTTGCTGGCTTCCTCCCTGTTACTCGTACTACATAAGAGATATTAGAAGGGCGATAAAATAATAATATATACACACAAGTACAACTGAAAAAAAAAAAAATTTAAAAAAAATACATTAACACAGTGAAATGTATAAGGACCGCCCAAAGCCCTTCCACAGGCCTGTTGAGTTTGCGCTGGACTAGAGGAGACAAGTTTGATTCTTTTGGTGAAAAAGCAGTAAAGATCAACCCATTTTCATCTAGCGACAATCGTCACGCAAGTTTTTTAATTTTAATTTGTTTTTCGTGAAAAAGGATTTTTTTATCATTTAGTTTACAATAAAGAGTCAAATTTTTCGTTTGTTTAATCAACACAAAGTCTGTCTTGCAGTTTGTTTATTTAATTTTATTAATAATAATAATAATAATAAGTCACGTAAGGATTGTTTATGTATTTTAATATTTAAAAAAAAAATAATATTCAGCCAGTTTCCTTTACAAAATTGTCAAATTGTTAATTCCAAACCGAGCCCTTAATTTCAAGTTTTGTTAATATTTCAACATAAGAATTGTTTCCGTTTTTTAATGTAAAAAAAATAATAGTAGTAGTAATATTTAGTCAATGTAAGAATTGTTTCTGTTTTTATAATTTAAAATTCCAAACTGACGACCTTAATTGCAAATTTTGTTAATAGCTCAATATAAGAATTGTTTCTTTTTTACTATTCTTTTCTTTATTATTATCTCATTTAACTAAACAAAGAAAAGATCCACTCCCTCCGGGAAGGATCTACAGTAACGCAATAACATACAAAAATAAATTGATATTAACAAGGACAAAAAAAACAAAAATATATCCAGAAAATTAATGTGAGTTAAACAATGTAAAACTAAAACTGAGGGCACTTGGCATTCCAAAGGAGTCAGAGATATTGTTGCCGAATGGTTTTCCAGAAAATTGATTGTCGCAATTTTGCACAAGTTTCATTGAGAGATCAATTGTGAACAGAAGGGGAATACGAGAGTGATTCGCTGTCATGAGTTGTCCATTTATTACTAAGAAGTCTGACATACATTGGATATATCAGCCCTAGTGATGCCGTGAGCGTCTACCTAGAGCTCTTAAAATGGAGGGAAATAACATTACACCATCAGTTATAGATATTTGAATTTCATTTTAATATCCACAGAATTGAAGTTTTTGGTTTTTCAACCTTTGAAACAACTTTTTAAAAAGTGAATAATATTATAGTTTGTTTGACAAACAAACCTGTTGAACTGCATTTATTCCATTTCCAGGTGTTGCAGAAAGAGCTAAAACTCTATATTCGCTCCCTTTTGCCATTTGTAGCAATTTAATCACCTTAAAAAGAAAAAAATATGTTTGATTAAATTTTCAAATAAATCTCTGTATCATTTAAATTTAATATAACAACCAATACCTGACAGTATGCATAATCTTTGACGGCTCTATGCGCTTCGTCCACGACGACGCATTTTATCAACTCGGCTGGACAAGCCGAACTTCGGAGATCATTCACGAGCACCTGTGGTGTCAGGAAAAAGACTCGTCTCTCTTTCCAGAGTGATTTTCGCACATCAATATTTTGAACACCTGCAAAAACCAGTCAAATAAAAATAAATTATGCTTGTAGTTTTAGTTATTTTTGATGATCCTAATCTGCCTATCTGTTATTTGGGCCAATATTTTGCCATCTTCAGTGGGTAGTATAAGGAAAGCAAAAAGGTAAAAAATTAACAGTTAATTTTAGAAAATTTTATTTGATTTAAAAAAATATAATTCAATAGATATGAATTAATTTTAACAATTTATTGCTACAATATAAAAAGTTAATATTTAATTTAAAATCACCTACCTGTCATCTCTGTAGTGTCAGATAGTGGGATGTTCATGATATGATGACAAGCTTTGATCTGCTGTGCCACCAATGGCCTTGTTGGCGCCATGAAAACCACTTTGCCACAGGGGTACCATCTGTAGAAATTATACATCACTACCGCTGCTATAAAAGTCTTTCCTAAGCCTAAACAAACACATTAATTTCTTATCTGCTAATTTTTCTAATCTGCTTTATTTTTTTTTTTAAATCATACCAGTCGGCAAAGTCACCATGGTATTTTTAAAAAGAGCAGTATGGACAATATTCGACTGATACTGCCGCACTGGGTAGTTTGTCGGGTAAATGTAGCTGGACCCAGCGGCAAGATGAAAACCTTTTGCTTCATCACCGTTGTAAAGTACTTCTCCAGCTTTTCCTCCAACCCTGGTACAAGAATTGATTAATTAACATTAACATCTTTTTATATTCATATAAAAATACCTACTGTGAACAAAGTACACTTTTTCTTTCAGCAATTTTTCCATTTGAGCTATTAGAATCGTCATCTATTAAAATAATGTCATCAACTGTTGCAAATTCATTTTCTTCTAAACTTTTACTATTGTAGTGACTGAAAAAAAAAAAAAAAAAAAACTTTTATAATGAGCTAATATATGCTCGCTCTAAAATAGGTCTGGCTTTTAAGGAGTCGATTAAGGAATGCAACCACAATGGGTTAAACTGCCTTGATTTGCCTTGCACACCTACAAGAAAAGTAACACACCTCAAAAAAAAAAAANAAAAAAAAAAATTACAGGAGAGACAGATGGAAGTTTACTGTTTTTACTTATGTATTAAGTACATGCAATTACGGTTGTTGGCAATTGTTTGTCAATCCCAGGCCCTGAAGATGATCTCAATAAAGATTGAAACATTGGCACAATAAAGAAAATGTTTTTCTGAAACCTACATCACACCAGACCGCATCTCACGATTTCTGAATAATTATTTTATTGATTATTAAGCATAGTGCAATTTAAAAAATTGTTGAAACTATAAAATAATATGAAAGTTAAAAAGACATCATTGTTAAAAAAATATATTATTAAGAATGTTATTAAAATAAAAGAAATGAAACTAACATAATTTACGATCACTCTGGATCAAGGTATGATCTTGAATAAAAAAGCAAATTCAATTCTTAATGCCAAGCTTTTGACCTATTTTAAGGTCATTATCAATACAAAACAATCTTAAATATGTCTACAGGTGTGACCTTAAACACATCAGGGCCTACATTAAATTCGCATTACGAAAGTATTTGTACAATTGATTTAACAATTTTGGGCTGTGCCGAGCTGTCAGTGGTTTATTCCACCATCATCAGGACCTTCATTAGACCTCTAATAGGATCTTATCGCCCAAACTTTACACAAAAACAATGAAGGAATGGTCTTGAATAAGAAAGCAAATTCAGTTCGTATTGCAGAGCTTTTGATGTATTTTAAGGTCATCAACAGGGCCTATATTAATTCCACATTAGAAAAATATTTGTACAATTGATTTAACAATTTTGGGCTGTGCCGAGCTTCGGTGGTTTATTCCACCATCATCAGGGCCTTCATTAGATATCTAAATAAAATCTTATCGCCCAAAGTTAACATGCTGCAAGTCGATAAACAATTTATAGTAAACTTGTACTGTATTTAATTGACGAAATAAAAGAAATTCCGGTTAAATCGAAGGATGAGAAGGTCAAAAATAATTTATTTTATAATGATCGTGTTTGAAATCGTGATACCTCAGACTATCCTCGCAGGCCTTCGCCAACAGGTCGTCGTCATCGTCGAGCAATAGGCCTATATCCTGAGACATCTTCGGCCGTTTCACAACCGCACGATTCGAGCCTCCCGTCCCAATACATTCGCGTTTTTACTAAATTTGTCAACAAACAAAACAAACTCGATCTTTATGCCATGTAGCAGATTGAAAATTTAAAATCAGCAGAAGTGTTGTCAAGAAGTAGATTCTGCATGACAACGATAACAGGAAAACAATCCTATAACCTCCATAAAAATAAGGCGCGCATTTAGATAAGCAACTTGTTTTTGTATAATACAAATAAACTTAATAAATGATACTCTTCAAATGACCAAAACGACAAAAATAATTTAAATAATAATTTTTATTTTAATCAATAATTAATACGAAGTTTTTTCTTTAAGCGGCTAAACAAAATTGCGCCTGGCTCAAGTCCAATTTCTAAAGGGTGAGTCTAGCTGGCAGCTGCCTTGACTTTGAAAAGCCCAACAGATTTCTGCCATTTTAACTGAAAAAAGTAAGTTTATTTTAAGAAAATATCAATTATTAAGATAGTAATTAACAAAAACATAATTATACATGTTATTAAGTTATAATAAACCTATATTAAGAAATCGTTTACGAAGTAATATTATTATTTATACGGGTAAATATACCCAACTATATATAAGTAATAATTAATAATTGAATCATAAATACATATAACTTTTCAATTAATTACTCTTTTGATGTAAGGTATTGTTAAGATGAAAAAGTTAGTGTCACAAGCGGGATTCAAACCCACGACCTTCGCACAATATGCTGCTGCTCTTACCGCTTGTGCTATCATGATTTAAACTCATCATTTTGAGCTTTTTCTTCTCAATCAAGACCTTGGATAAAAATAATAATTAATTGAAATAATTAACATGGTCAATTAGACTACTAAACATAAATGGATTAATAAATAATTTAAAATATGTACATATTCAACATAACAAACACAAATAAAATATTGTAAGTATTATGTCATAATACGCATGTGTATAAAAATATAAAAGAAGTTAGAAGGAATGATAAAATATAAACAACAGAAATATATAAACAAATATAAGGAAAAGAAAAGTAATGATACAAATATAATTAAATCACAAAAATATATAAACAAATAAGTCACTGAACACCACACGTATATAAAAATATAAAAGAAGTAAAAAGAAATGATAAAACTTTAATTAAAAAATTAAACAACAGAAATATATAAACAAATACAAAGGAAGTGACAAGGAATGATAAACATTTAATGAAAACAACAAAAATATATAAACAAATCAAACACAGTTGCCATTATCAATGTTTTAAAAAAAATGTTTACATCAATTTAACGAAAGGTAAAATGACACACATCTACAGAGAAAATACACACTTTGAGTGAGTGTAAATACATACTTTGATTAAACCTAAAATTTCTTTTGTATACATCATTGTATAAATTCATTTTCACATCTTACATATATTTGTATAATTTAAATAATGTTTATAAATTTCAGGCCCTAAAGATGAACTCAATAAAGATCACAATGTTGGCGCGATAAATAAAATGTTTTTCTAAACCCTCATCACACCAGAGCGCATCTCACAAACTGATTAATCATTAATTAACAGTCACTAAACACCACACATATATATTCAGTATTAGAAGTATGGACCACTTTTTCACTTACAAACACTCTGAATCGAGCTATGGTCTTAGAAGAAGAAAACAAATTTACTTGCTACTGCCATGCTTTCAACTTATTTTAAGGTCATCAGGGTCTAATATTATTTTCCCATTATGAAAAAATTTTTCGTTCTCCAAGGAAATTTGAGATCACCTGTAAAAATTTAAATATGTCAATCTGTAGACATACTTAAGGTTGTTTTGTGAATTCTATATAGTTATATTAATTGTTAAAACAATTGTACAATTATGTTTTTCATAATGTGAAAATAATATAGGCACTGATGATGACCTTAAAATTGGTCAAAAGCTTGGCAGTATCAACTAAATTTGCTATATTAATTATATTTGTATTTATATTGTATATTTCTATATAAAAACATTTTTTAAATTGGATTAATTTAATAAAATATATTATTATTATATTAAATCATATATGTTTAGCAGTCATAATTGACCATATTGATTATTTCAATTAATTATACGTTTTATCTAAGGTCTTAGTTAAGATGAAAAAGTTAGTGCCACGTGCAGGTTTGATCTCACGACCTTCGACTCTATACATTGCTCCAAATGTGTATTTTCTGTGTAGATGTTTCATTGTTGTGTATCAAGTTAAGAGTGCAACATATATAAACAAAAAACATTGATGCCATATTAACACTCTCAATAAGACACACAACAGTGACACATCTACAGAGAAAATAAACACTGAGTGAGTGCAAATAATTTGATTAAACCTAAAATTTCTATATTACAACTCTGTATAAATTCATTCATAGTCATATCTTATATGTATTTGTATAATTTAAACATAAATCCCAGGCCCTGTAGATGAACTCAATAAAGATCAAAACCTTGGCATGATAAAGAAAATGTTTTTCTAAACCTATGTCACACCAGACCGTATCTCACGATGTCTAAATAATAACTGAATATATAATTAATATTTTCTGTTTATATTGATAATGTAAGAGCAGTGTAGGTTCATTATAAAAAAGTGTATTATTTAAGCGAAATTTTGTCGGTTTGTAGAAGGCGGAGTTCACCTCTCCGTTAGTACGTCCATTCGCCAAAAGAGTCATAGAGTGAAATAAAAAAAAAAAATCTACCGTTTTGGATATAAAAGGTTTGTCAAAAGGATGGCGAAAATTTAATTTGTGGTTTAATTGGTTTAAATCGTTAATCTTCTGTGCCAGGGGTGCGGATGTGAACGGGCGGCCGGCAACCGCGACCCCGGCCCCGGAGCCTGAACCTGAACCGAGCCGAGACGCCATTGCCCGTAAACGCACCGCATCATTCGACAGTTCGGGCGTCTGTTTCGTTGCCCTGGGCCGATTTCCCTGGAAATACAAGCCGTTGGTTTATCTAAGCCGGCTGTCTCGTAAGTATCGAACATTTTCCGACATTTCGACGTCTCGTCGTTTTGTAAATCGTCTTAATTATAGAATTGAACCGAAGGCGGTGATTCGTTCTCGAGACGCGGGAACTGGATCTCACTTTGCATTCCTTAAAACCCGCCCCTGATTATTTTCACATTTCTCTTCTCACAAACGATTTTTTATTATGTTCAACTTTAAAACGAAATAAATTCTTAAGTCGTTTTAAAAGGACTTTTGGCCCCTTTGCCCGTTAAGCCGTTTCAAATACGAACAGATCCGTTGTGTTTATAAACGTGTTTTCCTCACTTTTCCCTGATTTCATTGCCATTACATCATCTGCCTTTAATCGGTTTGTAACTATTAACAAAATCTTATAAACCTAGTCTTATTTACTTATTTTTTGAATGTATCGATCTAACCCTAAATGCGGTTGCATTGCGTTGTAAACTTGTCCCACAGGTCTTACGTTTTCATAATTAAAACCTCCAGATTAAACAAAAGCATTTATTTATCTATAATTGTATTTTTTTATTACATAAGTTAAATATGTATAAATTAAAAAATATTGTGACACATTGATCATTCAGTCAACACTAAAAAGGACTTTGATCATACCCAAGCTCACAAGCATTCAATTCTTGACTATAATAACAATACTGTATCTACATTTTTTCTTAAAATAAAACAACCAGACCTATTTCATTGTTTGGATCATTTTCTTCTAAGTTTTTTATATTTGTTGTACGCTAAGGCTCTGTATTGGTGCAGAATCATTGAATTCGAGTCCGCAGTTACAACCAAAGTTCCAAATGATTCACTTTGAACTATTATAACCTTCTATGAGTGAGGTCCTCTGAGGCCACGTATTAACAGTGTTCTTGATACGAGAGCTTTTCGATTCTCAAATTCTTCTATTCTTCCATTCACTTCGGTCTATACATTGTCAAAAATTGTCCGTATCGTCCCCTTAAGGATAGAATTACAAGAAATCCTTTCTTAGGGGCTGTCCATGTCATAGTAGGAATACACTGGCAAAATTTCAGCTGTTTAGATTCAGGGTTTTAGTCTGTACATTGTCTGTCAATCAGCATGAACTGTTTTTTATAGATTGAAGAACAGTCAACTCTTGTTAATTTGAATTTCTTGATAACACACACTCCTCAGCAGGTCACTTCGGTAAATTGAAAAAATCCTGCCCATTTTGATACACTCGGTGGTATGAAAAATTTTTTCTAATATGGGAGAAAAAGCATGCTATTAATTGAAATAGAGCCACTTACACATTTTGTTTGTTATATTCCTCTAAATTTCACGTCTTGTTTTTTCCTTCCAGCCAAAATTCTGACATAGACCAAATTCTTCTTCGAATTTTCTCTAGTTTGTTATGTTCTGCGGTCAGTGCTTTGTCAATGTGTTCTGAGCACTGGTCACATAGGAAAATTTAAACGAAGCGCACCAGGTCACATTGAAACTAAAACAACTTTACATATTTTTTTAATAATGCGTAACTATGTCCAATTTCACAGTTGATCTATTTCCACTTTTTCATTATTTTTACTGTTCTATATATGTACAATTTAAGTAATAACTTGCAAAAATACATATCAACTCTTAACAAGTTTTATTCCTACCTCCTGATAAATTGAATTATTTTTGTGGTTTCTTTGGCTTCATATTATCAAGAGTCCACTGTACTTATTTAGAATTGGCCTTGGTTAGGCAACAAAATTATCTTTACCGCAGTTTTCTCATAAATTCTAGATTGATTCGCTCAATTTAACAAAACTGACTAATTTGTTGGTAGGGTATGTAGTTCTTGGCCATCTCTGTAACAAATAATACAACGAAATATTGTTTATTCTGCCATCAACTCTAAGAACGAATTTCATCACTCATATCAAAACCCACAAGCATCAATGATTTAACAGTTGACCAAAATTACACATGCAACTATAAGCAGATTTTTTAATAAATTTTGTTACTTCATTTATTTTCATCTACAATTGTGTATGTATTATATACAAGGAACAAATTGGATTTCAATTTGTGATTGTGACATTACAGGCATTATAGAGATAGCTACACATTGGCAACCGCTCTGGATTAATAATATATAAATCACACTGTCTGTTTGATGCTGAAAATTGCATTCTGTAAAAGAATTGTTCTTGATAAGCAGATAAAAATAAATAAATAAAAAATAAAGCTTAAGTAGCCCTATTTCACATTGTTTGGATCATATTGTTGTTTTAACTCTACATTATTATTGTAAGGGCTTTGGTACTGTATTGGTTGGGGATCAGTTATTGAATTCAAGCCCATTTTTTTAAAAAATTAATTTTACAGTCATTGCCATAGCCCGAAGCCTGTGTTTACAATCAAAGTTCCTAAAGAATTTACTTTTTTTTTAACTATTCATAATCAGGTGTAGATGACCTGTCTTCTATGAGTCTTGTCCTCCGAGGGCCACCTATCGAAAGTGCTCTTGATGTGAGAGAGCTTCTCTTCTGATCCAGCCCACCAACGCTGCCTGTTTATTACTTTTATTGACGTACTTATTTAGAATTGGCCTACCTTGGCAACAAAGTGACCTTTACCACAGTTTTCTCAACACTAGATGGATTTGCTCAAAAACAACTAATTTTGTTGACAGCATATGTTTTTGTAGTTCTTGGCGTCTGTGTAATAATTAAACAATACAATGAAATATTCTGTCATCAACCCTAAGAATGACTTTCATCCCTCATTTCAAAGCTCACAAGCATCAATGGTTAACTCTTCTCCGAAATTACAGATGCAGCTATAAGCAGATAAAAAAAGTAATTATAATAAAAAAGCTTAAGCGGCCCTATTTCATTGTTTGGATCTTTTTTTATTATTATTTTACTTATTTTTTATTACAAGGGTTCGCAACAGCAGAGGTCATAACAACCTTCCAGGTGTCGGTGTTTTGAAAAAACAAAAACGTATATCAAGTTCGAATGCAGGGCCAACCCCTATTTCATTGTTTCGATATTCTCTTTTTTAAGTGTGTAGAGATTAGTGACCGTTAATCGATAGTTATTCAGATATCGTGAGATGCGGTCGGGTGTGATGTAAGTTTCAGAAAAACATTTTCTTTACCGTGCCAACGTTTCGATCTTTTATTGAGATCATCTTCAGGGCTCAAAGTGTTTGTCTTCTGTGTAATTGTGCCATCCTTGCGTGTCGTATCGGCACTCTCAACATGACACGCAAGGATGGCACAATTACACAGAAGACAAACACTTTGAGCCCTGAAGATGATCTCAATAAAAGATTGAAACATTGGCACGATAAAGAAAATGTTTTTCTGAAACCTACATCACACCCGACCGCAACTCACGATATCTGAATAACTCTTTTTTAAGGTTTGTTTTTTAAAATATTGTAAGGGCTTTGGTATTGTGTTAGTATGGGGTCAGTCTTTGAATTCGTGTTTGCAGTTACACAGTTCCTAAATAAATTACTTTTGTTGAAGTACTTAGTTAGAATTAACACAGCATAGGCAACAAAATGTACTACCACCGTTTTCTCATCAATTCTATATGGGGCTAATTTTGTTGGCAGCGTATGTTTCTGTAGCATTTGCCCCTTCTCAACAATTAAACAATATAACGAAGTATTCATTGGTTGAAAACGATGGTTGAGGAGAAAATTATCATTTTCAACCTATGAATTGATACCCACTCCACCCTAATTATTTCTATTAGACTGGCCATACACTTAGTGGCCTACCGGAGAGGTTTACCTGTACCGATAAACCGGAATGTGTGTTAATTTCTAGTGAAATTGTGCAGGTATCGCGACCTATCAAAATTCGATTCTTCTTGCACATTTGTCTACACCGATGTGTGTGTGTGTGTGTGTGTGGGGCTCTTTGGTCACCTGCACAGGTTTCAGCATTCAGTTGAAATTTAAAGCCCGAATCAGGGCCTAACCTAAGTTAAACAGTTTATTGGCATTGAAACACCGAAGCATTTAGAAACTGGCCTATTTTAGGCCATAAAATAATTGTTACTCTTGTTTTCTTTAAATACTAGCTTAGTTTATGTAATAGTCTACCAAACATGTTAATATTGTTTGTTGACATTGCACGTTTATGTAGCACTTGCAATGTCTTCGTCCACAAATTGCATTATTTGCCCCATTATAATGGTTTTATTTCCTTAATATTGTGTGGTAGAATGTAATAATGTAGTCTCAAAAAAAAAATGTGTCTGGTTAGAGAAACTTAAATTGATGACATGCAACTTTGAATAAAAAACATTTATGTGAATAAAACTTCATCAGCTAAATTTCATTATCTGGAATTTTTTTCCCCGCTTCACAAATGTGTTATAGATTTAAAATTGGCCTTGTTTTTCAACAGAAGTCGTCTTAAATTGTTTACTGTTTTCAGTACTTATTTACTCACAAAGTAGCACTAAAAACTAGCCAATTTTTTAAACTATGTTACCACTTACAGCCATTTATTCAATGTAAGTTTGTTTTGTTACTTTCCTGAGAAGTACCAGAATTATCCTCTACAAACAAAACTGAGTCACCCATTTTCCATGTGGTTGTAACATGGCTAAAAATAATAAGTATTTACCTGAATTCATCAAACAATCATTTTTTGTGTGACATCTCTATATTTTCCATTACTGTGATCTGTGAACAAATATTGTCTAGTCGTGTGTCTATTTGAAGAAACAATTGAAAATTATTTTAGAAGATTTTAATTAACTGATTGCAAAAATTGAGTAATATATTAAATAACATTGAAATAGTTAATAGAAAATTTAACATTTTAATAATATTAGTTTATAATTGTTCATTTCAGGTATTGACACAAAATTGAGGACAACATGATGAAAGGTAATTTTCCAACATTTTCTTTTTTATTGGAATAAATGTTATTGGTGTTATTTTTTCTGTAACTTTCTCTCTATTATGCATTTATCTTTTTCTCTTTTGTTTGTTACATCGTTGTATTTTTCTCCCCTTTATTAAAAAAAGAAGGTGATCAACCTATAGCTGATAATAATGATGTCTCTGCAGAAAATCAAGGCGAGGAAGAAGAAGAATTTTCCGTGGAGAAAGTGTTGAACAAGAGGATAAGCAACGGAAAGGTTGAATACCTGCTAATGTGGAAAGGCTACTCGGAGTAAGTTGGTGTTTGTGTTATTATTACCTTATTCGACTGAATCAGTTTACGCTTTAATTACTTTCACAAACAATTAACTTAGTCGTGTGCCCAAAACCAGAGCCACACATGCAGTATTCAAGTCCTAAGCCGCTGACAAATAGAATTGGCCATTTGCACTACTGAGTGATTAGGCGTTAAATAATACACAATGTTCACCGACGCACAAGCTTAGCCTTTTATGATTAATTCTCTGTGAATGTATGGCATTTATGACAAATATTGCACGTGCGGAACTGGTGTTAAATGCATGCAGCTTGACAAATTATTTCCTTTTAATTTAATTTTATATTAGTATGTTAATTATGTTTTTTACCTTCTGTTTTTATATTGGTAAAATTAAAAAAAGTTTTGAGCACTGAATTATTATCGTAGTTTATGTTGATTTTTTATTAGTAGACAATATAGTTCATTATTCATTAAACTGAACATTTATAAAGAAAGTTGGTAAATACATGTTAGTAAATAAAATCATTAAATTATTTTTTATTATGTATGCTTGCAACACGTTTCTATTGTTATTAATTGCTGAGGAATTTTCTCAGATTTCTTTTTTAAAATTTGTTTTATTGTGTGATCATATGAGAACACTTATTTCGAGCAAATAAGAAAATTAAAGAAAGCAAGTATGATTAAAAATTCATGGTAAATCAAGATGCATAAATATCTTATTGATACTTATTAATTCATTTTTGCCATTGAGCAAATTTCACGTGTTATGTAAAAAATGTTTTATTACTATTTTATCCATTTTTCACACTTGGTAAATATCAGAAATGTATAGGTGTAAGAATTGCTTCTTTCAGTTTACTATCAAAAAATTATTTCTATTCAAAATCAGGAAATTAGAAGACACATTTCTTTGTTGCCATCATCACTGTTCATTTAAAGCATTTGCATTGTGCAATCTTTTTTCTATTCTTCTTTTAATATGTTCGTTCTCACTGATTTGCAAAGATACTCTGAATTCCCTCTCCCCCCAAGTTTTGATATCTATTTATAAAAGAGTTGATAAATGACCGTTAATGAAAATTTGGCTAGAAAAATTACCTTTTTTTTTAGATTTTTGACATGTTTTGGAACAATGTCCGTACATGGGAAAGGTCACATTAGGCAAATCACCAGTATATATTTTTTTATCTGCTCAATATTATCAATTATCATATTTACAATTATTTACAAAATACATATTTACAAATTATGATTAATACAAAAATATACCAAACAAAAAAAACCATGATGGAGCAACAGGCCAAAAAGATAAACAACAAAAGAAATTTCTTTGATGTGCTGTCCTTGGTTATACCATCAAATGAAAGTGTTTTTGAGAAAGGAAAAGATTCGCCATCGAGGAAAACATATTTCACAATATGATTAAAAAAAGACCTATGAGAAAAAGTTTAATTTTTTCAAAAAATGTCCAAAAAGTCAAATAGAAAAATGATCTTTGCAGTAACGTTGACAAAGCGATACTAAAGGCCGAAACAGACTCAGTTTACAACCCAACACCCTACAATCTTCAGAAAGCAGGGTTTTTCTTGAAGTGTTACCATTATGGAACGACCATATGTGGGGAAGGGTGTATTGTCCGTAACGAACGTGTTAATTGAACTATTTTCTATATCTACCGGGACCTTAAGGTTCTCTTCTGTCTTTCGATCTATATATATATTAAGCAGGGTGGGCGACCAAGATTCGAGGGGTTAAATGCCTGGGTAGACTCGTACCCCGTCCTTAAAAGGTCCGGGACTTGGTCGGCTCACGTGTCCTGCATAGACCTTTTGGACTTGTTCACAAACCCCAAGATTTTGGACCATTTTATCTCGGGGAGTGATTTGGCGATGAATGTTCTTATTTTTGGATTTTTCCTCCCTTTCAGCCTATCTCAACCTGTTTCACGATCCTTACACAAGTACTCCTGGTATTGGGTAACAGGAGGAATCAGTGCCTCGCTCCAATTTTGCATTGAAGAAATTATCCACTATATCTTTAAATTTCAGGAGGCATTTCATTTAGCAGTTATTCCTGTACTATCTTTCTTTTTTAACTGATAACGTCCCCTCGCATTGCTCAGTTTTTCTGTCAATTTTCCATTTTTTATGTCTGAATGGTTTAACTGAAGCAGAGTTCGCCATTTGGCCTGACTAATTTCCCTCTGTTCAAATGACAGTTATAGAAAATTAATGAAGATCCTCCTCATATATTTATTGCAATGTACAGACTAATGTGCAGGAAATTATGCACTGTTACATCGCTAGATATGCTCACGCCTTCTCCATGGCCCATATTTATCTTATTTGTGTGTGTTGCTTTTCAACACCTCTTTTTGAGTTAAATCATAGAACAAAGGGCAAAATGCTATTTTTTTGTCATCCATACCACATAATTTTGTGACACTAAGAAAATAGAGAAATTAGAGGGAACACAGCTCTGATAGCTATGATGTGGCCCTTTTGGTATGTTTCTGGTCTTGAAAATATTTAGGAATGCTATATTTTTATTTTGTTTCCTTTCCTGACCCGAAATTTGTTTGATGATTATAGATGATTATAGCTTTTTATTCTTTCTTTTTACATTTATTTACCCTTGCACGTTTACAGGATGTCCCGGACTGTGACATTTTTGTCCCTGATGAGTTATGATTTTTTGTTAGTCTATGGAGTTAGTCTAAGTTACGTTACTTGAGAAAAACAAGATATCATAAGGGTTATCACAAATTTGGATTCAGCATTACGTTTTCTTTTTGCTATTTTCATCTAAAATAATTTTCAATTAAGAACTTTAATAAATGTTTAAATTTGAAAAATACCACAAAGTTTGGTTTTTAGTAAATAATGTATACTTAGGCATGTTCTTATGTTTAATCCTAGAGATTGTCCAACTTCATGAAAAATTCATTATTTAATAACCATTTAAACGGTATAAGAATATCCTATCCATAACCCCTCCTGATTGTTGTAGATTTACCACGTATCAGTTTCAAGTTTTATAATTTTATCCACAATAAATTATTGAATGATTTACAAGCATTAGACATTGAAAATTGTTTTCACAATGTTGATCACGATATCTGACACATCTGTGTTCTTTTTCTCATGGCACCTACAATTGCTCATGTGGACAAATTGGTTCTAAGTTTATCAGATGCTTGGGGATTTTTATCCTTAAATCTTCAGCATTGTTCACTACTGAACTGTACACCTGCACCCAACAAGTTCGAGCCTGGTTGAACCAGAATATACCATATGGATTGGTAGTCATACCCATGGCCACCTCATTCCCCTAAATCTTACTATCATGGATTTTTACGTTTTGGATTCGTTAAGGAGTAGGTGTGCTGTTCTTTAGTAAACAGTGCTGAAGAACGTTTCCATGAAAAACAAACAAAAATCGTACCTCAACAGGGGACCTGAAGATAGGTATAGGAACGATATCATTTAAAGGTATGTCATATAAAGATTATACATTGGAAATTGATGCAAATAGGGTCCTGTATTAACACCAAAAAAATTTTTTTAGCACTATCTCTGCAACACCGTGCATATCGTATATTTGTTTCGTTAATTTAGTAAAATTAATTAATTTTCGTAATAATTAATTATACTGCTTTTTCTAAAAATAAATTTTGCATTTCTAACCATCTTTTTCGTTACTATTTTTTTTTTAATTTTCCGCGGTTTTTACTAAATGGTTGCATTCTGCCGGTCAGCGTCCTTTTTATCCCAACCTGGCCCCGAGCAACCTCCCCTCTTTTGAACCAATCGGCCGACCTCGCGCGCGACCCATTCGTGACCGCCTCTCCGGATCTGTGTGAAGTAGGTTGTTTGATTCCTTTTTTTTACCCTTCAGACACGGGGAATTTCGAATAAATAACGCTCGTTTATTCCAAAAGAATTTATCGTGCGTCATCGTTGGCATGACAAATCAAAAGAAATAATGTCTTTATTTCAGAAGATTGCGACACCCCAATTACATTTAGATTAAAACTTTTTTAAATAAAATATGTACCAGGTTAGACCAAAACCGTCGTCTTTTAACACACACGGAGGCGTCTCGAGTTCTCGACCGTTTTTGACCTGTGCCGGACCCTTTGTTCCCTCTTTTGACCATTCCGCCAATTGGCGTGTCTACCTACTTTATTTTACATAGTTATTTGCAGTTTTTATTGTTTTTCTCGAAATTTTTTTTTCCCCAACGGGACTTTTCTTTGTAGGTATTACATTATTAAGAAACAGTTAGATGTTACTGAAGTGAAAGAACGTGTAAGTATTTTACAAATAGTAAATTTGTCTTCACAAATACGTATTTTACAAATAAGTATTTTACATTAGGTACTGTATCAAATTTTTATATTTACATAAACAATAATATTTACAATTTTTTTTAGCTTTATAAAAAGTGTATATTAACAAAGACAAATAACATTATACACAAATATAAATTTAAAGTTTGGCTCAAGGTTTTGCAAATCTGACTAATAAACTAAAATTACATATTAACAAAACATTTATACGAATGAAACTATAATCATGCGAAAATACAAATGCTAAAATTATTGTAAATATTGGGCATGCGCAAAAATAATGCAGGTTTTGAAAAGGCAATCAAAACTACACTGATCATCAACAAAAAAACCGACCACCTAGTTTTTGCACGAAAAAAAAAATAGCATTTGGAAATGTATATTTTCTCAAACCTCTAAGTCCCGGACCTTAGTCTTATTTTTTAGAAAATTTTACGTTGAACGGTATGGCTTTTTTAAAAATGTTTTCCTACTTCGTCATTCATCAGTAAATTCAAAAATTTGAGAAAATGTTAATTTTTGCACTTTTTATGGAAAATTCAAATTGTGCTGTGAAGTCTGGAAATTGTGCTTGAGCGGTGCCCTTTAGCAATTTCTAGGAAATTTTTAATAAGCTTTCAATTGGTCACCACTTGGCCCGATTTCTCAACAGTTTTTGAGTTATTCTTTATTTTTGGGCTAAAAACGCGTTTTTTTACTTGCTCTTGGAAACACATCACTCTCTTGCTCTCCTGATTTCCAAGAATGCATAAATTTTGAACCGTCATGTTTTTGCAAATTTTACGCTCTACAACTTTTGTTCCGAAGGCATTTTTAAAAAAAGTGACCAGGGAAGTGACAATTCTCACTTTTTCTTACTTTGAGCTTTTGGGATGTGGAATGCTTCTGCTGTTGATAACCAATTGTTTACCGCTTCAAGGAAATTTAACTTTTCCTTCCCATTTCACAGGTGTTCACATTCAGGTGTTGTGGCAGTTTGGCTTTGAATAACGTATTAAAACAATAAGTTTATACGTGGTAAAATGGGGAGAGAGAGTGATCGGTTTTTTCCTTGAGCATGACCTGGTTGTGGTTCTGCCATCTCGCAACGTTTTCAATGTACATTTAAAAAAGTAGTAATGTGGTTACAAACAATGATTAAAAAAAATGTAAATAAAGAAAAAAAAGTTTTCTACAAAAAATCAAGATTAAATAAAAAATTTGTTTACCTTTTTGGTGTTCTAATAAAATATATACAGTTAAAATAAAAAAAAATCTATATGTATACATATGCAACTAAACCCCAAAGTGAAAGAAAATTCAACAATACAAGCCCTCATCATAGCGCAAATAAAAATAAGGGAGTGAGTGCGCCGATCCGCGTAAAACCGTTTGACTGGCTGAACTCAGTTGTGCCAGGTTGGTCTTGAACCGACAGTCTTGAATTGGAATGTCTTACCAAAAATATGAATTTAGTTTTTCAGAATAAGATTTTTTACCTTGTTTCTTATAAGGAGGAGATTAATTTAAAGCATTGAAGATGATTTCAATGAGTAAAATATTATTTTTTATATGGATTAATTTATTTCCTCATTAAAAAAAGACGTACAAACAAATTAAATTTTGTTCAATGTTTTTTAGTTACTTTTAGTTCTTCCTTACTTATTCTTCCATCACTGATTGGTGAGTTTTTTTTTTTAAATAAGGCATTTCATGTTGATCGAGTGGGGAGATATGTTAAAAAAATAATATGTTTTAATATTTTTTATTAAATAATAAGATCTATTTTTTAAATTAAAATTTAAAGTACATAATATTTGTACTACATTTTTGAAGAGACTTCAATATTTTTCTTTTATGCTTTTTATGTTGATTTTTTATATTTTTTAATGGAGGGGTTTTTTTATTTTAAACATTTAGTTTGCAAGATTCACATTTGACAGCCTTCAAAGGTTTTTCACATATATATACACTGATTCTTTGAATATTTAAATGACAAAATTTTGAAGTTTTTTGCAATGAATCAATTAATCTTGAATTGAATCAATTAAGAACGATGAATTGCCCGAATATTGTTGTTTAGTACAATATTTTTTGTTTGTTTTAGTTGTCATTCAAGGCAGGGCTAATTGAACATTTGGTTATTTATCAGTGGTTTGGGAATATAATGAATCATCGGATGAATTATAAAAATTTGATAAAGTTCCAACATATTTCATTATGAATCTTTAATGAAAAAAGAAATACATCGATTATGCTCACTAGTAAATAGATTTTTTTTTGTCAATGAATTAAGTGACATAAGTTTATACACCTGTATCACACATTAATGCTTTTGAAATAAAATACTTAATTTCAGTGTTGAACAAACTTGAGAGCATGTAGAATGATGTAGTGATGAAATTAGTTTTAAAAGCTTCAACAAATAGTTTGCTTTTTAAAGTCTAATGTTTTCATTGTACCACTTGTGCATAATTTTCATTGTTTTTAATAAGTTATGAAAATGGTAAGGTTAAAAAAATGAATTAATCTTTTTTGTAAGTAGTTACATATTTTATTTTAATTTATATACTTTTGAACTATCGAGGCTTTTAATAGGATTTTGACTTCAGCTTTACATATGTATGTGATACATATGTGAATAAAATTGAATTTTTTTTTTATAAAGTCATTAATAAAAAAAGTTTTATCAATACAATTTGTCACATCTACGCGTTTTGGAATTTGCCGGGTTTGATATTATCTTTTAATATCAGCTGGATATTACCCTCATTATTGCATTTAGTTCAGTTTCAGTATTCTATTTGTTTGTGCCTTCATTTGTTGAATTTGTCCATCTATTGCCAAGTTTGGGTTAATTTTTTTAAATATGCAAATTTAATTAGTTAAAATGCTCGGTAGTGTAATGATTGTTTCTTCTTACTTGCAATTATAAAAGTGTGTTGGTGACAACTACAAATTTCTTGACTTATTTTTTAAAATTTATTTTGAAATTAATTGTTGTTTAATGGCTAATCTATTTGTTATCCTTTTTTAAGATGTGATCTGAACATACACTTTCCTTAAAATCGCACCATTTATTTGTAAATTTTATAAACTTCCTTGTCCTTCACCATTTTATAAGAATTGATTTCACCAGGAGTGACAATACCTGGGAGCCCGAGGAAAACCTTGACTGCCCCGACTTGATTCAGCAGTTTGAGGAGGAAAGAAAAAAAAAGATGTCAAGTGGCAACGACCTAAAGAAAGAAGACACAGCTAAAAAGAGGAAGAGTATAGTTAGTAGTACGACGAGTCCAATGTTGGATGACCGGAAACCAGCCGAAAAGAAACGAAAGTCTGATGTAATTTCCATTTATTTAAAATTCCGATACTATCAAATTTTTGGTTGCTTATATTTTGTAATTTAATAGGATGACAAGCCACGTGGTTTTGACAGAGGTTTGGAACCAGATAAAATTATTGGTGCTACTGACGCCAGTGGGGAGTTAATGTTTTTGATGAAATGGTAAGTAAATAATTTAGTTTTGTTTTCTCATTGATTTCTGTTTGCTGAGCACTAGTGCAGAGTTTGCCTGCAGACATGCAAAGTTTAGCAAAGTAGGATGCTTAAATGCTGAAAATAAAATACTTATTAGTCTAATTGGCCTGTAGCTCAGAGGGTCTTTGGGTTTTTGCCCGGTTTGTGTAACGTTAGATTTTTGAGGTTTTCCAATTTTTCGGAGAGTGTTTAAAAACAAGCAAACTATTAAGGACGTTTAATAATATAAAGGTCTAATTTTAATATGTAGAGTTGAATCAGCAATAATTGAAAGTCATTGATGTCATATTTTCATAATGTATAAAAATTACAATGCAGGATGCAACAGGTTTTGTGGCATAATTGGTTATTATTTCTTTTAACAGGAAAGGTACCGACTTGGCCGATCTTGTTCAAGCAAAGGTGGCGAATGTGAGATGTCCACAAGTGGTTATTCAGTTTTATGAAGAGAGGCTCACATGGCACAGTACCAACGACGAAACTGTTGGGAAGAAATGATCGTGCAACATATTCGTGTGCCCAGGTTTAAATTCTTCTGACGGTTTTAAGTTGTTGGCTCTAAGACTTTATGTAAATGTCACCAAAGATGACAAGTACAGTTGTTAACAGAGAAAGTAAAATTTTAAATAAAAATATGTATACAGTTTTACCATGTTTCTTTTTGTAAAAAAATGAAAATAAAATTATATGTATATATGTGTATATTGCACATATACACAAAAACGTATAATATAGTGTTTGAATTTATTACATTGTCATGTCTTTGTTGCTTATTCGATTCTACTCAATTTTCATATTTTATTTTATACACAGAGTGATGAATCAGTTGATATTATAAACAAATCAAAACACAATTTAAATGTAATAAATGATCTTTTATTATGTTTGTGTTTCTCAATACAAAGTAATTATATAAATAAAGTATAAATGAAATTTTCTTCACTTGTGTTTTAGACTTTTACTATCCTTTTATTGCTCAGTTTAAAAGAACAATGGTAAAAAAAAGTTGCTCATTTCTCAACATAAATTGAATTACAATAAATGACAAATGAGTTTATTAAAAAATGTTAAAATGAATAGGCATTTTAATTATGGCTATTATCAAGCATAAACCAACATGTTTTATGTATATACCATTATGAAATAAGACAGGAAGTTAAGTAAGGTTAGTTTCTGTAAGCTAATTTAGAGTCCAGATTGCTTTTACTTTTAATTTATTTTCAAGGCGCAGACTTTTTTGACATAAATGTCAAGATGTGTGGGTCCCAGAACAGAAATAATACTGTTACGAAGTGGTCTATATCATCTTGCCTCCATAATTCCATAAATATTAGTTTCTCTTCAAAATATTCAAAACCAATCATTTGTTCTGTTCTGAAACCAACCTTGCAACATTTATGATTGACTTGGTAACATAAACGTTTCACACCATTAAACCAATGGTTGTGTGTCCCAACATGTTTTTTTTAAAGGTATTGGTTAACTTAAAACGTTTTGAGACCTACATAAATTATTCATTTTACAGATTGCTTTTGGCAACAGAAAAAAAGAAAGAAATTCGGAATTTATTACAGACTGCTGCATCAAAGCCAAACAAGATTCTAAACTTATTACAGACTACTGCACCAATGCTGGACAAGATTTACAGCTTGCAGCACCACCGAAGCTGGACAAGTTTCTAAACTTATTACAGATCTACTGCACCAAAGCAGGACAAGATGCTAAACTTATTACAAACCAGCTAAGCTGGACAAATTATAGAATCATTACAGATTTGCTGTACCAAAGCCGAATGAGAATTACAGACCAGCTACCCCCAATGTCATACAAGATTCTAAACTTATTACAGATCTACTGCACTAAAGCGGGACAAGATTCTAAACTTTGACTGCTGCATCAAGGCCATACCAGATTCTAAACTTATAACAGACTGCTGCACCAAACCGGATAAGAACTACAGCTTGCAACACCGAAGATGGATAAGTTTCTAACCAGTTTAACCAAAGCTGGACAAATTATAAAATCATTACAGATTTGCTGCACCAAAGCTGAATAAGAATTACAGACCAGCTACCCCCAATGCCATACAAGATTATAAAATTATTACAGATTTGCTGCACCAGTGAGTCTAAACTTATTACAGGTCGAGTTCACCAAAGCAGGACAAAGTTCTAAACTTGTTACAGACCTGTTGGACCAAAGTGGAACAAGATTCTAAATTTATTATGGACATGCAGGATCAAAATTGGGCAAGATTCAAAATCGTAGCATCTTTTAACTGAACATTGCGGACTCTATAGGTACTTGGAAATGTTGGGAACGGCAGAATAACTGTAAGTTTTGTCAAGTAATTGTTTTTAATGAAATAACATCTAATTATGAGATTTATGTGAAAGTCTGTGCAGTGATGAATTTGTAAATCTTGATTAGTTGGTATGGGTGAGGCAAGAATCCTTCCTATGACCTCATTGTTATCTTGCACATGCCTACCTCTGATTAAAACCAAATGCTAAAACGAGAAAGATAGCATACCAGGAGGATAAATGAATGAATTGGAGCCAATTTTTTTTAATACAAGAATCACCCTGCCACTAATTGCTCAAGCTTCAGAGATTAGCGAAATCCCTCGTCGAAAAATGATGAAATTAGAGACCTATTATCGTATTAGTGAAGTATAAGGACGGAATTACTTGTGGCTGATATTAATTTCGACGCTAATACCCTGAAAAGGAATTTTTCATGCCGAACGTGAAGAAGCCTTTTTATGTATGTACGTCGGACTGGGAGGAGCCGAGGGATGTGATGTAGAGCTGGTGCCTGCTGGCCAGCTGATAAGCTTTAGTTTTATACGAGCTGCGTGACAAACCCCTTATAGGATCCACTTCGCCATCCCCCAAGGGTTAGACTTATGCTATCTTCTAAACCCCGTTCCCTTCTTATTACGCTCAGCTTATGCTTAAAGGGTTCTTTTTATATTTTTTAATTATAAACCCGATGCCAAAGCCTTTATCAAAAACGTTTAACGTTCATGGCTTTTCATCTTCACGGCGAAATTGCCTCTTAGGTTTGAGTTTATTGTGAAAAAGAAATCCTGTGAAGGTCGATTATCGTCTCTGATCCCATTCAGCCGAATTAGTATAAAATCTTTCATATGACAAAGAAATAAGGTTCATAATTTTATGTCGACTTATCAAATGAAGAAAACAAAATTTACATATAAGATAATTTCACGTATACCCAATGATAATAATTGTTCCTACTGGCGAGTATCTCTGAAAGGGAGGGATTCGCGTTAATAAATTTCCTCAGGGCAGGAAGAAGAAAACCGGACAGGCCGAGGGTTAATGGGCGGAGAGCAGGCGAAGTATGATGCATTGTTCAAAGGATGAGCGATGAATCCAACGAGGATGGATACTTCCCACTCTATCACATCTCGGTCCTAAATTTTTCACCTTATTTTCAATCGAAACTAGCCCGAACTAAAATTCAAACGATGACGGCAGGAAAGGTTCAAATCGGATTTGGGTTAGTCGGAACCAAGCAGAAAGTCGATTTTCTAAATGTAGCATTTATTCTGTCGAAGCTAGAAATTTCTATGTCGCTAGATTATACAAAATTCTAAATTGTAGAATTTCTTCTCGAGGTCTGCGGTTTGATAAAACTTCAGTTTGGCCTTTTCTCGCCTTTTTAATCTGTCAGATGCGTCTCGCCGTCTCGCCCCACTTATTTTCCACATGGCCAAAATTGCCAACCATGCAGACCAAAATTTTCAGATACGGCTAAACAAACGTTTCGGATGAAAATTTTATCTTTATAAAGTTTCACTGAGTTTATAGTTATACAGAAAAAACTTGACGGTTCTTCGTATTGACGACCGAGGGTTGATGTCTTGTCTCACCCTGCTTATATCTATTCAGATATCGTGAGATGCGGTCGGGTGTGATGTAGGTTTCAGAAAAACATTTTCTTTATCGTGCCAACGTTTCGATCTTTTATTGAGATCATCTTNAAGACAAACACTTTGAGCCCTGAAGATGATCTCAATAAAAGATCGAAACGTTGGCACGATAAAGAAAATGTTTTTCTGAAACCTACATCACACCCGACCGGATCTCACGATATCTGAATAACTATCGATTAACGGTCACTAATCTCTACACATTCCTGCTTATATCCCTGAACTACGGAAGATGGCGAAATTCCGAAACTGACAGACGAAAACAACGAGAAAAGATCTGCGTGGTGGTGAACTGTAAATTGTATTGGCATTTCGTTATCTTCATTGATAGGACAAAATACCAACTTACTTAATTTTACCTTACATATGCCCAACACTGATGATGGCGAAATGTTGAATTACCAAAATGATCGGGAACTATCAAACTATAAGTATTGAATTATTGCCACATACGTGTTAAGGAATTAGGTTCATGAAACATCGAGAATAGGCGGGCACAAATTTGAATCCTTGAATCTTGGCACTTCCAGGGGGGGGGGAGAAAAAAAAACTGTTTTATAAATAAAGCATGTTGTCTTGAAGCATCGATCCTGTGCTAAATGGCAACATGTTATTTATATGGCTATGTGAATGAGCCTGCAGTTTGGTCGCTTCCGATAATTTTGGCCTTCCTTTTCTCGCCGTTTTCGTCCGTCAGATGCATTTCGCGATCTCGCCCTACTTATAGACCACAAACCCCACAAGGCTCAACCAGCCAGGCCAACATCTTAATAATCAATCTTAATAATAATTAACGTAGTCTGATCATATTGTTCTGGTTGGTTGGATAGGGTTATAAGCAGGGAGAGACGGCGACAAGTCGAAACCAATCTGATAGACAAAAACGAGAGTAGTCAAATCAAAATGATCGGAAACGGACAAATTGCAGTTTTATCACTCCGCAGGTCTCCAAGGAAAATCTCTCCAATTAATTTGTCTGTTCAAGTTGTGAATTTTCAAATTGAACTTTTGAGTATGTGTCAATAGACAACAGTTTCTCTGATAATCGTGTATCAGCTAGTTGATTCTTTTCCTCTCTGTCAAAATATTTATCAGTTTTTCTTTAAAGCCGAAAGCTGTAGTATTATAAAGTAAGTCAATAAGATTTCGTGAGGGTGTGGGTTAATGCAATTAGAAGAGAGGCCACTAGAGACGAGTGACCTCTAATACAATTAAGCCCCCTGTAGAGCCATCGCCGCTAACCTCCTTTCAAAACCGTCCCCATATCTCTTTATCCCGATGAAAATTTGAGGGGCACAGCCGTTAATATGTATCTTTCCGGTTCTATTTTGTATTGTTATCTAGGGTCCAAATAATTTTTGTGGGTTGTAAAGGCTCTCGGAGTTCAAACAATAGCGCGGGTCATTTGCATGTTGGCCATACGGATTTTTGTATTTATTTATCCCTTCTATGGGGTTTCATTTTATTTTGAGAATCAATAAATAATTTTTGTAATTAGGGTACAAACAAATTGATCATCAATTTATAAGCAATACAAGCAGTACAAACCATGTATTTTTCTCGTTTTTGTTTTTTTACTCTTCTAGCTTTAGTAAGCTTTGAATTTACTTTAAATAAATACAAAGAAAACGTACCATAAAGTTTTAACTAATATTAAATTATGAATCAACCAAATAATTCAGAACGAGGACG